GGGGGGGGGGCGCTTTGCTTTTACCACCGAGCATGTTTTTAAGTGACTTCCTGAGTGAGCGTTTCTTCTGTGTCGCGGAGTCGTCAATCTTGTTGCTGACGCCGCTTGATAAACGGAGATGGGTGGTGTCCTTCGATAAGTCTTTCAACACGCCATCTGGCGCATATCCTGTCCGTAAGTTAGTACCTCTTGCCCCTTCTCATGACTATTTCAGGTACACAAAGCTCACGCATCTCCAGATCTTCTTCGCTGAGAAAACTGATCGCCACAACGTCCCCATCGTATTGCGGGAAGCCACCTGATAGTAAGGTCAACAGTGAACCCAACATGTGCATGAGATATTCGGGTCCTGGGGCAAATAGCCAGTACCTTTCCTATTCCAGGGGTTTTGAACACGCTGGGGGGGCTCCGTCACTGAGTCACTGATATATGCCCCTGTGTCATCTATCCCAGCCAGGAGTTAGCAACCTTAAGAGTGGTGATAGTGGAGGAAGGCCATACTCCACGCTTGGGATCCACCTCGTTGCTCCTTCATTCGTTCGACCCTGCGCTCGATGTGGTGTCGGAGGTGTATGTCATCATGCCACAAATAATGTTCCTCAAGCTCGTACCTACAGGACGGTATTAGCTTCATAATAAGATAAACCCAACAGTGTGAAAGGGAGGGGACTCACTGGCTTTGGAGTATTTTTTGGCAGTGGGAGCATTTGGCTTGTTCGATCGGATCTGACCAGGATCTCAGTGAAGGATATTACAAAACGATCTAGATGGTGAACCATACGGCTGGTCTCATGCTCTTTTCTTTCAGCATCCGTGGTAAAGGCACTGTAACACTTTCTGCATTTGAAATGTGCCGTTTTGCTTTCAAAGGGAATACTTTTTTTGTATACCCGGTACCCTCCAATAGCTGAGCTGTAGAATGCAAATCGATGATCAGATCATTGCACCCGGATGCGCATGTTTAGGAAAGGACTTGCCTGTCGATCGTCATGATATAGACAGTGATCTCGCTCCCCCGGCAGTATTTTGAAAGGTAATGCTCCTCACGTTGTTCTCTATAGAGGGTATGGAAATTTTAGTCATATTGTGAAACCAGAAAGATAGCATGTCCTACACATAGCACGACATAGAGCCACCCAGCTGTGGTTCGGGAATAGACGTACTGGGTATAGAAGCAGATATCGCAGTCTGGACACTTGATTGTCGGTTCTGAAACGACTTTCTCAATCCCTCCACCTTCGTACGGGGGGAAGTCCGCAATTGCTTTTTGCAGATACTGTTCCATTTGGGCCTGGGTGGGAAGTAGATTCGATTCCTTCCCTTCGTCCTCCATTAAGGACTCGGGACGGCCTTTCCTGCCTATATCATCGCTCTGGAGTTGCAGGCGGGAGACTAAAGTGTTGATCTGGTCGATCGTGTCTGACCCCGACTCAGACTGGTTGACTGGCTGACGCCGAGCTGAACGGCCTAACTGGAGCTGGATGGTAGTATGCCAGTCATAATGCTCTTGCCAGAGCGAGCTAGGTGGACGATGTTAAACCTAATAATGACCAAGGAGCACTGGCAGAAACATGCGCAGCCCACTCACCGGTTGAAGAATATCTTCTCGCAGTGCTTGCACTGCTGAGCGCTCATCACCGCGTCCATTCTTTTCCAACGTTGTCAAGGATAACCCGAAGCAGACAGTATTGTTTTACGAAGTCATTTCCCCGGACGACACCAACTGAGATGGACTGAGGCGAATATCTCTAATACAATTTATGTCCGGCGACAGAACACTACGGGATATGACAGGATAAGAATTTTGAGCCTCAATGAAGCCAGGCTGAAGCATTGAAAAATGACTCCTTTCCACTTCCCCTCCCCCAGATAATTGGCTTGAGAATACGAGGATCAGCGTTGCGGTGCGGGGATTGTCAGCTCTGACTGACCTGATCAAACTTACTATGGTATGCTCGCGGCTGGGCAAGGCTCTCTCATTGGTTCTTAATGGACGTGATTGCACTGCCTCCCTGTGTGACATCGTTGTACATATTATTATTCCTTAACATTCTTGTCCTTGCCCCGAAAATCACCGCTGTCCACTCTCTTTTGTGACTAGATGACATGGAAACGCCCCTAATAATATGCCTTGTTTCAGTGCTCTACGTAGACTATCATGACGGCAGCATATCTAAAGGGTTATTGCATGGTTAGGAGATGTAGATCCCTCGGTCCAGTTGTTAGGCCGGTACTTACGCTGCGGCTGCCATCAGGATTTCGTGATTCCGACAATCCGTTGACAATGCAATCAGAACCGCCACGGCGACAGTGCATACCGTCACCACTGTAAGGGCGTTTGCCCCCGTCCTGAAAAAGTACAAGACAATGATTGGGATAATGAGAAGCGCGGCGGTCAAGATGGTCAGCACCACACGGACGACCGTCGCGATGGCCTCGTCATTGTACGTGTATAGAGTGCCTCCGTGGTCGTATACGGTCGTCCCACTGCGCTTTTTGTCCTGCAGAGAGGCGGACATGAGATCATCTATCCTCTTTAGGTCATTTCCAAATGGCAAGCTTACCTTCACAAGCAGCCTCCAGACCACTCTTTCCACTACCCGATACGCCCAACCCTTCCGTTCCGCGCCGGAGTCCAGCGCCACCAAGTCCCTTCGGATTTCAGGCTGATCGGCTAAAAATGCGCCATCTGCCTCATTGAGAAGCTGAGAGTCTGCTGCCCAGTCGCTGAGAATTTGGATAAACTCATCTTGCGGGCGTTTCAGCTTGCGCAGCTGTGACTGGATCAACAGGGCTTTGTCTGCACGGCAGTTAGTCCAGAACCACAGCATCCAGATGATGATAGAAAACTCACGGTATTTTTCAAGCTTCTCTGAAAGGGTATACATGAGCTGATTTCGGGGACTGCCCCACGGGATTGTGCCCGCTGAATCACTTTGTTCTTTTACGCGATGTTCCAATTCCGCAATCTCGGTCTGCATGTGGACGAGGTTCTGGATACTCAGCTCGGAAAAACGGCGAAATACAAGCAGGCCATTTTCCTGGTTCATGAACTGGCTGATGTCGGAGAGCTGTTGTGTTTTCTTGCCCGTCCCTTGCTCCTGCATGGGGAATGAATCATTGCCAAGATCAGTAGATGAGGCCTGTTCTGGGTCGGTTTCAGCACCGCCTGGTTAGATAAATTAGCGAATAACCTGGACCTGCTCCTCCGCAGACAATGATACGGCATGATGCCCCCGGGAGCGGGTGGTTGAATCTTACCTGGCGAGATTATGTGGCTCTTTCTCTCGTAGCGGGCCCCATATACTCGCGTGTGCTGAAGTCGACGCTGAATCGCCGCGTGCTCATCATAGTGGGCGATCAATTGTGATCTGAAGATCCTGTCAGTTTACAATTCGTCGATATATTTGCCTGTCATGCACTGTCTGACAACTGACTGATTGGAAAACTCTCGGGAGCAGTGAATGCAGTGCATATCTGTGTGCAGTGATGAATAGGCCGGTCGTCTAATAAATAATTGCGAGGATAAATCCACAGGCTTCACACGGTTATATTCCTTATGTTTCCAGCCCAGGTGGGGGTGTAAAACATGTGAGGTCGGCCCCTTTTCCCTGCTTCAGCTGATCGTCTACGTGGTAACCGTTTTATAAAACCTTGCATATCTTAGCGCACTGTGGCTTAGTTCGCCAGGCTTCCCCATTCTGCGGCTCTTTGCCATCTTTCCTCTCCCCGCAAACTCCATCCAAACCGACTGATGCCCGAGGACGTCAATTGTTTGTTGCGTTGCAGCAGAACAGCTCATACTCAACTTCATGATGGAGTGCAAGCATTGTGGGGAGAGCTTTGAGCAGCAGTAAACTTCCACAATCCCATCCACTTGCTGCAGAGCTTACCAGATTGACTGACCAGTTGGTCGCAGGGAGGAGATCAAACAACATCTCCAGCATCATGCGGATATTCAAAAAAGGGTATTCCCCGGCAGGAGTTATGGTGCGGTATACCGCCGGGCTCCTGCTCGTTGTACGGAGACACCGGCTGCCAATGGAACTCTGCTGGGGTATCAGAGTCAATCGACGCCGTCTCCTACTATTGAGGGGCCCCCTGCCGGACTCGATAGGTATCCATGTCGATTTTGTCAATCGACCTTTGCAGATAGGTTTGTACACACGGTCTCGTGAATTCTCCGACTGTCCTAAACAGCTGGAATCCATAGGCAGCTCCTTCGAGACCATGAACGTTCTTCGGACTGTGCCGGAACCAATATCTTATGCTGGGTTCTCATTATCGACAGGTAACGGTCCTGTTTCTTAATCTTTCTTATTGGAAGTTGAAATTGAGACGGAAGGATAGTTACCAGCCCAGCGGGTATCGTATCGAAGAGCGATATGTGCGCATCTGGGATGAGCATCAACCCTACCACTGGCTCTTTAGATGCAGTAAATGTGACCTGGCATATGCATCGGAGGATGACTGTGACCTACACAGCAAAACCCGTAAGTCCGAACAGCACCCCCAATCTTGAATTGACGGCTTAGATAGACGCCATCTAGATGTAAACGAGCCCGTGCCGTGTGAACACTGTGGGAAAGTCTTTAATACGAGGTGAGTCTCCTGAGTTCTGGCTGTTATTGGATATGCCTCTGATATCTCGCCTCACCTGTTCTGGAAGGCACGAATTGCTGGTTCACTATGACTGGCATTGGGATATGCAAACAGAACACAGAATCGAAATGGCGTTGCTTTCTCAGGGCCAGGCCTCACATGAAGCAACTCGTCCATATGAACTTGATCCACCAAAAGTAACTACCCCTCCCAGGAAAGCACACAGGGCCCGGCATGATGGCGAAATCGTAGCTGTGAGCTTTGTCAGTGGGTCAGATCTGAAGGCTCGTACGTTTCTTCCCTCCCGCTAAGTCAAGGGCTCACGTTAATGCCGGTTTTGAATGTTATAGCGTTCACCTCCACACAAACCGGCAAATTCCACGAGGTTGGATTCCAAGGGACTGGCCCTAATATTCACCCGGTAGACGATCCAAATTTAACTCTTCCCCAGCAAGGGGATACGTTGAAGAGCCACATTCGCTACCTGAGCCCTACGGATGATACGGCATTTATCAGTAAGGCCAGGGTGGGGAGGGGGTCTTACCTAGACTTATGGGTTTCGAATAATCCAGCTTACCTACAGTGGCTAAACCCATCTCGTGAGCTCCGTCATCTGTGGATCCAAGGGCCATCCGGTTGCGGCAAGTCAGCATGTGCTGCTCGCATTGTCCAAAGCTGTCTCGACAACAACGCCCAATCAGGAAACAATGCAGCTGTTATCTTTTTCTCGTTCAGTGATCCGACGGAGGGACATAGATCAATTGCATCCTTTCTACGGAATGTGATTTCTCAGCTCTATACGCAGCGTCCAGAGCTTTGCGCACGGGTTCCACTGCTCCATATTCCACTGATTGAGGGTGTCCCACTGGACAGTCTTTGGATAGCGCTCCACTCCCTTCTAACCGGTTTCAAATACACTCACTGCATTCTTGACGGAGTGAATAGCTTGGATCCTTCTGACCAGTCGACGCTGGTAAAAGGAATTCTGGAATTATCCTCCGGTCCGCAAGATAATATGAAGTTCCTGGCCATGAGTAGCCAGCATCCGGACCAGAATCCGCCGTCAACGTCGAAAGTTCGATGGACGGTAATAGAAATGCCTTGGTCAATCATCTGCAAAGATATCAAGTCCTACGCAACCGCTGCACTACAGGACAGTCAATCAGCCAGAGCAGACCCATCCTCCAATGTACTCGGCATTGACCTCCTTGTTAAGAATGCAATGGGCAGCCATTGTTACATCACGGTAGCGGCCAAGATATACCAAGAAGCGTTATGTTCTGCCCTTCCGCAGGATATGGATGGTTTGCTTTCGACAGCCATGGGGAAACTTTATAGCGAGACTCCCTTGTTACGAAACTGTGCTATAAAAATCCTCCAATGGATGATAGCTTTACCTTCCCCGCTTACAATCCAAGAATTGGACGAACTACTAACCCTGTACCCTTATTCTGGAACCCCCTCTCAAGATATTCTCCATGGATGTCTCCAAGGCCTAGTCAGTGGGCCAGATAGTGAGGGCCATGTGCGGTTTGCGGCCCCCTCTGTGAGGCAGTACATTATTTCTGGCACTACAGATCTGCGCCTGTCCAGTAGCGACTCCTCACGCCTTTCACCGGTTTTGTCACTTAAACAAGCACACAGAGACGCAGCGGTTGACCTCCTGCAGTATATGGCCACACCCACATTCGAAGCACAAATTCAACGACAATTCCTGGATGATTCTGCGAAACCGGGACTAGCGAGAATTGCCAGATCAAGATGGATTTGGCTCATGACTCGTACTCCCCCAACCGCAGAGGTGATATCCTATTTGACCAAGTTCATGAGCTCCATATCTTTCCAGAAATTGTTCACCTGTCTTGCGCAATGCAATCCTTGTCTAGCGGTGGCACAATGTTATGATGTCGAGCTGGAGAAGTGGCTCCAGAAAGCACAACCTCTCTCTGGCGCAAGGGACGTCGCATCATGCCTGGCTCAGTGCCGCAAGTTGGTCTTGCAGACTATTAGCAAGACATTTCCTTCGGACTATGCGGAAGTGATCATGATCCTCAATTGCCTGGCGCATCTGCATATAGACTCCCAACTATTCGATACGGCCGAAGAACTATTCCGTCGGTGCCTTGAGGTCATCCGTCGGTGGACGCGATTTACCCAGTCGCCGGAGTTTGAGCGGCTTCCATTCTATATTTTTGGACATACAATTGATGAGGGTCAGATCCTCACCCTTCAGGACGTCCACGGTCGATTACTGGCCCTTTCCGGTGGTGCTCCATTTGCGGATCTCCTCCAGAAAACTCGGTGTCTGTCCGATTCGCAGGCTCGTCGAAATCGGACTCTTGGACGCCTGCAGCAGATGCGGAAGTTTAAGCGCTACAACCTTCACAGCGAGGCCGCTACCATATATCAGGAGGTGAGACAGGAGCTGCAGACTCTACGTTGGGATTGTTCCACCCCACTGGACACCGTCCTCGGCCTTGCCTTCTTCCTCCTTGAGCAGGGAAGAAATCTGGAAGCCGATACCCTCCTCGATACAAAGATTCCGAAACTCATAGGCGAGAGTCACATAGTGCTAATATGTTGCTCGATGGGGGCCAACCCCGACAACAAACTCATCGTCGAGCTGGCAAATGCCAAAATGGATGGCCTTGGGACAGGGTGGGAAGCTATCTTGGCTATTGATCGACTTGGAAGGCACCGCGCAGGCGATGGCGATGTCCAAAGTGGCATAATATTCGCCAAGAAGGCTTATCAACTGAGTCAAAGACGTGCTGGCTTACATGACCCAAGGACCCTCCGTTGCCTGCAGGGGATGGTGAATGCGCACCTCGCCGAGGCAGATATGAATGCTGTCGCCAGACTCTTTTCTGAAATCGGATCGCTCAGCCCGCCCCAAATGCGCGAGCTCACCCCCGAACATCCTTGCTCGAAAATGAACTATGCCATCATGATGCAGCAGTTTGGTCTCCCGCAGTTGGCCACCACTATCGTCGAAGAATTGGTTAGTTGGCTCCGGGAACAGCAGGTACTTGGTTGCAGGGCACGCGATGTCGAGTACAGAAACACCGTTGCCATCAACATTGGGGGATTTCTGACCAAACAGGGTCGGCTGCAGGAGGCAGAGGCCTTTCTGAAGAGAGTCCTCGCTGAACCGGAGGGTCTTTCGCTCGCACAGATTTCAGCCGCGAAGACAAATCTTGCGGGGTGTCTCAGAAGGCAACTTCGCACCAACGAGGCTGATGCTCTATACCAGGAGATTGACGCCGATGCATCAGATCCTGTACGATCGGGGGGTCATGAAAAAGGGATTTTCCGTATTGGATAGGACATAGTAGTAGTACGCCGGACTTCTTCGAAAAGTATCTCATCGATTTTTTACCCACTTACTAGCTTGGCAAGTAAGGTGCGGAGTACAGAGTACTTCGATTCGACAAGCTCCTCCATCCTCTATACTGGGTCCACGAGGGACCGTCACACGCCACCAACCTGACAGCCGCCCCCTGCAAGTTATTCCTCGCGACCGGCAGTCGTTCATTACTATTTGGGACGTTCCACTTTCGCACTCTAGCAAAGGCACAGATGAGGTATGAGCCACGCTCAAGTACAACTACCACTCACCAGCGATTATCGTCTTCCTGCATTGATGATCCCGATACCCCTCAACTTCTCTTGCTGCGACGAAGTTTCAACTCCCACTTGATGAATTGGTGATGTGCGAAAGGGGGGAGATTCGGGGCCTCGAGTGCTGCACAGGCTATTTCAGATGATATTGAAGAAAGAAAAGGCCAGTCATGGGAATTTTCTGCCCATGGTATGTGCTGTAGCCCCATCCTGACAATCTACCAGCTAACCACACAACCACAGCCAGTCGAACACCAACAGAGGGTCCCAACGAGCAGGTCTGGGCTGTGTGTCACCGTCTGATTGATGGTGGAGTTCTGTCCTGGATCGATCAGGGCCAAGTAAGTTGCTGTCAGGCAGCCATAAGAGACTGTTATTTTGTAGGAAGGCGAACGGTCGAGTTTGTATCTCAGTAACACAGGACAGCCTCATACGCCCCAGCCAAGTCGTGTATTATCCTTTACAAATTAGGTGCATAGATACCTAAGAACCCGGGTCGCTACCTAGGTAAGTACCTAGGTACCGATTTGTACTTCATGTACATGCCCGCGGGCTGAAGCGTTGAAATTATGTCCCACATTTGGCTTCGTTTCGGCCTGCAGGAATGTGTCCCAGACCGTGACTCCAGCTTCTTCACAACAATCTCCTATGACCTATTCTGCATTGATAAAGAGTCTTGTATTATACCTAGATGGATCAATTAATAATCTTACAAGTGCAGCCATTTTGAGAGGATTAAATTGGCTGATTACCTTGGGTCTCCATCATAAATACCCAAGTATGTTCAAATCTGAATGTCTCGGGCCAGTGCGGTCGTCGCGCGATGAAGGGTGATTCTCACCCGCTCTCACCCTGCTTCTCCCCTGTCTATAGCGCACTCACCCTTCTCACCGCCGGTCGCGCGACCATAAAGCGGCCCTCACCCTATAGTCAAGTGGGCGATACGGCGATACTAGACTGGCTATCCTAATCAAAGGATATATATCTATTTACTACTAACTCTAGTACATACGACCACAGGGTGTGGAGAACAGGGCTTCCCGTCCGCTCAGCCGTACTTAAGCCACACGCCGGTAAGTTAGTAGTTAGGTGGGTGACCACTAGCGAATCCTTACTGTTGTATGTTTTTGTTTTCAGTTTTGTTATTTTTATCTGGATTGTTGTCCCCTTGCCGCCCTACCCAGTCACTTTCAGCCCCTTCGCCTGAATGCCCTGAATATCCTGTACGCCCCTGAACCGCTGACGTGTCCTTCCCCTCCCATACTGATTTTTTCTCACAGGCAGGTTGTTTTGATAACAACAGGCTACTTCTCGAAACGGATACGTCAGTTATAAATAGAATGTGACGAGCCACCATCCAATTATCTATCTTCCAATCAAATTTTTATAAGGCTTCTATTGCCTACTAGATCTTTCAAACTGCATTAACCAAGTTGGCCCAAACACTCCAAACACTGCAGATATTGCAGACATCTCCTTGCCGAGTTCAGGCCAACTTACCATGGTGTGAAGCGGCATAATGCAGATCGTCGCAGCTTTAAGCCACTCTCTACAGGCTAATTACCACGCTTCGCTCGGCCCTCTGATAAGATATCTTGATTGATATGGGAGACAGAAGGAAGACTTACTAAAAGGTAATCTTTACCTCAACGGCATCAAATAAATCGCGATTTGTAAAAGTCCAAGGCGAACTGTTCAATAGGATGGATGCTAAATCATGGGAGGGGGAGGCCACGTTAGCGCTTCCGGGGCGTGCAGGATATTCAGGTGTAAAATAGTGGTGGCCAGTCTCTTAGCATCTGCACACAGCCCTCAATGGAATGATTTCAACTGGGCCAACGGGGTGCTTCTCGAATACAAGGTCTGCCATATGTCTGTCATCATCCTCAGCAGCGGAGATTTCGATATATGAAGTATGTAATTTAACAATGCATATCAACATCAAGCACTCTATTAAATCCCTGGGGCTGTGGAAAGCCATCAATCAAAGAACTTGTTGATATCCAGGTTGTTCGCCACACCGATAATTCCACGCCCACCCCGGACAATCGAAATGTTAGTCATGGTTTGGGTTATTTGAGAACTCCCCGCAGAAGGGTTCATAATGCCTAGTAGAGCTCGGCTATCATCGGTGACCTGAATGCCGCCAAACCTCTGTTGGGATTTCAACTGAGTCGTAGCGGAAAGGAGCCCCTCGAAAGTCTTCCCAGATGATGTCAACACAGCAACCCCATTGTCAAGCTCACTTATAAGCTCTTCCCGTGCAATTGCCTGTACAGGTAGGCCTCCAAGCAGGGCTACAGGCAAGCTTTGCTGCTGCTGATGGATTTGGTCTATAACCACGTTGAGGTTGGTAATTGCTTGGACCAAGTTTTGTTCATGGCTCTCGATTGTATCCTTGGTTTCAGCTGTGACTCTCGATGAACCAATTGTAATAAACCTACAATGAAAATATAAGCGAGGTCTTCAGAGACAAAAGCACCTGATATACCTACAAATTTGCGGTGGTGATAGCTGCAAGCAAAGTCTCCTGGCTTTGGAATAGTTGCTGCCTCAAAATTTGTATGTGTGCCTCCCCAAACAGCACAACACGTACACGGTCCCACCAGTGCATCGTGTTTGAGGTCGAATGTTTTTTCCATCTTCCCAAAAGTATTTGGAACTTATCGCATGCCTTTTGACAGTTTGATATTGCCAATTTCACGCCATTTTGAACCTCTGGCGTCAATTCCCCCAAAAGGGATGCATTAGATTCCAGTTGTAATGTTGAAAGCACACGTTCCACAGCGCATAAATCGTTTTCAAGATCCAAGAGCACTTTTGGCGCATCATTAATTGCCGTGATTTCTCTCCAGAGTGCAGCTATGCTCTGTACTGCGACTGCTGCGATGCCAATCGTGCCAGTTGCGATGCTGAATAGGTCTGCCATGATGCTTAGCGACCTAGACAATCAACAGCAGACAGGAGGGAATATCGAAATTTACCACATTCTTCTAGTGGGTATGGAAATACGGCTCAATATAAGCACTCCAGATTCTATTCCAAATAATGGAATCTCAGCTTGATTTTGGACCCCACTCCGAAGTGGCTGTGTTGTCGTTTGCGTATGACTAACTAGCTCGTAAGGCGTTCTAGCATCAACAGTGTTGACTAATTTGGCTTAGTTCCTTGTGCCTTGCGCCAATGATCTTTGAAACGCATTTTCATTTGATGAGCATAGACCTGGGTCGCATATTTGCTTAAAAGAGGCCACCAGGTTACCTCCGTTAAAAGTGGGGNGGGGGGGGGAGCGTTCACTACCACCGGTATTTGTCCAAGCTATAGTGGCCCCTCCCGCAGTTTCCAATGTTATGCTCTTTCTTTTTGTCACCTTGTGGTGAGGTCTTGCTTTCACCCAATCTCGATCGATCTTTCAGCTTCTTACAAGCCTCGTATGATCGAGCGAGTTATTTCACCAATGGCTGCTCCAAAAATTGACTCATCGAATACTCAGAACTTCTCCAACATTGCCATCACGGGCCAAGGGTTTGTTGGTAGCAATACAACGAATAGCTATTATTTTGGTGAGTGAAATATATAAACCACCGAATTTTTTGTTTCTATGATCTATACTCAATCATTCATCAGGAAGCTGCAACCAAAAATTGCGTATTGCCGCAGACGCTGCGTTTAATTCATCGGGGAAAGACAATCATGCAATCTGTCTTCCTGATACACGACTAAGTGTACTCACACGGATTAGGAACTGGATAGATGGAGATGATGGAGCTCATGTCTTTTGGCTTCATGGCTTAGCCGGCACTGGAAAATCAACAATTGCACGCACAATTGCTCGCCAGTTATACGACGAAGGTTATTGGATGGCAAGCTTTTTCTTTGCCAGAAATGACGACGAGACAAGTAAGGCCAACAGATTTGTTAGCACCGTGGTATCACAACTGGCAGACAAAGATCTGGAATTTCAGCAACAACTTCAGGATTTGATTCTCAAGGACAAGGGAAGCAGGTACCGCCTACTCAGCGACGAGTGGAAAGAGCTGTTTATTAATCCACTATTATGTCTAAACTCGCCTCGGTCCCCGCTCATTATTATTATTGACGCATTAAATGAGTGTGAAGGCGAGGGCAGCATTGCGGCTCTCATCCAAATTTTGACACAGGCCCAAACTGTGGGCCAAATCAAGTTGCGTTTTTTGATAACAAGTCAATCTCAGAGTATTATTCGCAAAGGAATCCAGCATGCAGGCCCAAATTTTGTGAATTTTGCCTTGCATGATGTGCCTGATTCTGAAGTATCCCATGACATCTCGTTGTTCCTGCATGACAGACTGTCAGAATTCAATTTTGGCAATGAAAAGATCGAGAAACTCGTGGGAAAAGCCTCAGGGGTATTCATCTGGGCGGATACAGCTTCTCGTTTTCTCAAGACGCATAGAAGAATTGCTTTCTTACGCTTGACAGAGATGCTTGAGACCTGTCCAGCAGATGTTCCGCCAGAGGAACATCTGAACAGTCTCTATCTCTTTGTGCTTCAACAGTCAATCGACTCTAGTCTGGAGAGTCATCACAGGGAGATTATGTGCCAAGACATCCAAATTGTGCTTGGAACTCTGGTTGTGCTCTTCGGCCCCTTAGCTCTTGATCCATTGGCTCGGCTTATTGATCAATCTGTGACAAAAGAAAATCTATCTGACACTCTTGCCCTTTTTGAACCAATCCTCGATATCCCTGAAGACCGTCTTCGTCCTATTCGCTTACATCATCCTTCTTTCCGGGAGTTTTTGCTTACTGCCGAGCGATGCAAAGACCAAAGCTTCAGAGTGGATGAATGCCATGCTCACATGGCAATTTTCCAACGGTCCATTGATTTGATGTCAGGATTTTTTGGGAAAGATGACGTTTGTGACCTGAGAGATCCAGGGGCTCTTTTACGTGATCTCGACCCGAATGATCTAGAACAGCACCTGCCCTCTGAGATACAATACGCATGTTCATTCTGGGTGCAGCATTTAATGAAGAGCAAAACAAACATTCTGGACAATGACTTTACTCATCGCTTCATTAAAACCCATTTGCTGCGTTGGTTCGAGGCCCTTGCTTGGATGGAACGGATGGCGGAAGGCATCGCCACTTTAGATTTGTTGACGTCTGCTACCTCGGTAAGCATACAATAAGCCCCAAAGGAATTCTTCTAACGATAATAAAGATCGAACAGTCACCTCTTCTCCGAAAATTGCTCCAAGATGCAAAACGATTCATGCAATACAGCCAACCTGTTGTCAGCCAAGCTCCTCCCCAAATATACCTGAGCGCCATTATGTTTGCTCCAAAGAACAGTTGCGTTCGTGAGCAATTTCGAGAATCTGCTCTTCAAGTGGCACTACACCTGCCTATGATACAAAATGATTGGAGCCCCTTGCTATACACATTCAAGTTTCCCGTCCCAGTCGACGTGGTTGCATTTATGCCGGGGGGAGCTATGGTTGCTATAGCAATGCAAAATTACATTTTAGTGTGGAACCTCAGCACAGGAAGATGCCTCAAAAAGCTCGAGGGACATAGGAGGAAAATCACTTCTTGTATCTTCTCTAAAAACGGAAAGACATTGGCTACGTCTTCTTGCGACCACACCGTGCGACTTTGGGAACCAATTTCAGGGCAAAGCATCCATTGCTTCGAAGGTCATACGGATTCAGTCACAACTGTGATATTTTCTCCTGATGATACCCTGTTGGCTTCTGCATCTCACGACAGCACAGTGCGAATTTGGAGTTCCTCTGATGACAAATTTATTGATGTTCTCAAGGGTCACACCGATTCGGTGCACAATCTTCTATTCTCATTTGATGGAAAAGTGCTGGCATCTTCATCCTCAGAGGGATGCATAATTCTTTGGAATTGTGCTTCTGGAGAGGCCATGCAGAAATTTCAGCTCGATGGATTCATCATAAATATGGCTTTTACAGATGGTGGCACTAGGTTGGCATGCATTGAAGATAACGGTGACCAGAAATTATCGCTCTGGAACCTGGTCAACAACAACTGTGAATTCCAAAAGAGATACGGGGATGATACCTGCGATATGGTCTTTTCGCTAAATGGTAGATGGTGCGCGATGTATGATAATCTTGACGTGCTTCTCTACCGTTTGGATGATAGCTCTATCTTCTGCCGCATTTTATCCGGTCAAGAAAATGATGTGCACGCAATGGCCTTTTCGCCAAATGAAGAGGTCTTAGCAACAGGACAAGAGGATGGTCTACTACGCATTTGGAACACAGCCACAGCTGAGTGCACGCAAATATTAGTGGGACGCAATGGTGTCAGGAGTATTTTTTGGAGCCAAGAAAGCGATTCAATGTTATCGATTCACGCGGACGACTCCCTATGGCTCTGGGACCTAAGTTCGGAACAGGACGAGGGACAAGAAAATTTCGAGTTTGCGTCTTGTGACATGGAATATATCGATCTCTCACCCAAAATGAACGTGGCCCTATCAACTGCCACTTGTTCCCCTGCCAATCTTTGGGACACCAAAAATGGCCGGCACATTGCGCAATTAGGGAAAATATCAAACGCCATACCTGATTATCCTTATATATTTTCCCCCGATGGACGGCTATTAGCAAGTGGGTTACTGGATCATACTCAGACCCACAAGCTGATTCTATGGAATCCATTGAATGGAAACTATATTAAGTCACTCGAAGGTCATTCTGCCAGAGTGACTGCAGCCAGGATATCACACGACTGCAAAGTTCTAGTTTCAGCTTCGGCGGACGACACGCTGCGAATTTGGGATCTGAACAACTTTCATTGTTCTCAAATCATCCAAAATGTATCCGAAGGGCGCATTTTGCGAGAACCAGCGAATCCTTACGTCGGCTATCCTTCTGTGCAGAATGTGGTTATCTCTCAGGATAAAAGCACAGTAGGATCTATTGAGGAAGGTGGAGTTGGCAAGTATATTCGTGTCTGGAATCTTTCTACTGGCCATTGTCGCCAGACATGGAATTTATGTCCTAGGTTAGTCATCCTGTCTTCGGATGGTGAGATATGTGCCATGAGTTTCATATGGAACGAGGTGCACGTGTGGAGTACGAATGATGGGACATGCCTTCACAGGCTAAAGATGCACTGTGGTATCCCCCAGGGACTGTCCTTCGCATTAGCTGGAAAGACCCTTATATCACGAGCTCGGAATACAATGCAGCTCTGGAACTTGGAGACCGGACAATGTCAACAAACGTGTGACGCAAAAACTGCTCGCCTCTTATTCCGGTATGGCCTGAATATTCTCCAGGTCGCTGGATCGGAGATTCCGATATGTTCAGATCAAAGCATTGTCGAGGGACATTCAACATATCACATGAAAGGTTCTTGGATCACCAAGAACGATCGCAAACTTATCCTCCTGCCACAAGACTATGCCGAGCCCTCAGCGAAATTGATCAATGAAGACATGGTTCTTCTTGGATACACCTCGGGGAAGGTAATTTGCCTTAATTTCAGGTCTGTGGAGACCTCCTTGCATGGGAAAAGAAAAAGAAGTTCTTAGAATCTTGAGAGAGTCAAAGGTCAAATCGTTCAACTTGTCTATAATTCCGTGTCCAGTTAACCGAAAGAAGCCTGTATGTATGATTATGTACCTAATTACTTGGTAGTCTGCTTATCATGCATTGCAATTGTTTACACTGAGTCAGAGTTGACCTTCTTTTCGATGATCATTCAGACGGACTAGAGTAAGCTTTCCATAACCACGGAAGCAAGCCTGTCAAGAGTCCGTAGCTATCTGTCTATTATTTGGCTACGGCCGAGATCGGTGGGCCCACAGGAAGCCATATTTTCCACGTCCCGTAGTCTTATATACCGATTGTGAAGTGAGATATGGTTGCGGAGAGCTTCATATATACTCTTGAATGAATGAAAACTAGTGATATTAATAAAATGCTTTTAAATTCTTAACTTTATTATATACTAGTAGCTCTCAAATCCATCGTCATCTATGATCTTCCTCTTCTTCCCTAATATACGTAGCAGGGGAGTGGTCTCTGGATTAGGTGTAATCTTCCTTTCTTCCTTTATAGCTTTAACCTCACTACGAGAGAAGAATTCCTATAGAACTACTAATTACTTCTCTTCTATATTAAACTTCGAAGTATAAAGAAATATTATGAATTCCTAAATTATTATTATATTTAGATGTGAGCACTTTAGCAGATATTTTATTCTATTTGCTTGCTATATCCAGGATCAACTTCTGGTATTACTGTTGGGGCATTCAGGGGTTATATAGCTGAGCATCTTGCTACTTTTTAGAACACACACTCATTTAACCACTTGCTCGTGATAAAGCGAGGCTAGAGAGATGAAAGCAGAGGGGAAAAAAGGTTACTTACAGCTTTTTCTATTAGAATGGGGAAATGTACCTTTTGCTGTACAGGCTGAATAGAGCGGCGAGCCGCCCATGCCCGAACCGTGGGCGCTAGGCGACCACCACCTTAGACATGCTGTTGTATGTTTTTTTCACTTGGTTTTTTTTTTTTTGATTTGTTCGGAAACTCCCTCGTGCCGCCCTACTTTTCAGCCCCTTCAGCCTATTCACCTAAATTCCCTAAACGCCACTATTCTACACATTGACAATCACGCTAGTTACTGCAGGCTAAGCCACGATGTGGCTTAGGCAACCAAATTGTGGAAAATGTCAAGCCCAGAAATTGGAGGCCCACCATGTTTGTTTTGTTGTTTAGGTACGAAGCATTTCCGACAGAAAACACAGCCACTGACTGTCACGCACGTGGCTGGTGGATATAGAACATTTCGGAAAGGTTTAGAGACAATTGCATCTGGTTTTATGCATATTGTCATACGATTTGCCAATACACCGTACGGCCAATGCATGGCTAGGATTAGGATTGGGAAAATGTGAATACCCGAGACTTCTATCTTTATCTTTTTGCATATTGTTGCTTGCTCTTTAGGTTATCATCTTCAAAATCAAGCTTTGTTTCCGAATATTCTAGAGAGGCTAACGATTGATTTTTATCTAGTTTTCTTAGCGGACATTTTATCAAGTTAGTGCTGTTACAATCATCCCTCTCCACCATCCCATTCAAACAACATTGCCATACTAGCTGACATAGTAACGACCAGTCTCAGTATCGTGGACCATGTCAGTCTGCACGACCTCCCCATTCTTGAGGAATCCGTTCGCCACGACTCCATCACCAGTCACATTGTCCGAGTTCCGTTCCAAATGATTGTCGCCGCTCTTAACAGTGAAGTTAGCCAGGGAGATCTCCCCAGCATTACGCTCCTTGGTGGTAGGCATGCCGAAGAAATGAGCTCTAACTTGTTCTGGGGTGATATGGAGTTCAAAGTATCCGCGGTAGTATCCCTCAGACCAATGCAACGACTCACTGTCAGTGACAATTCGCTTGGAGATATCGTTTGCCGCAGAAATAGTGGTGTTCTCTCCAAATGAGGAGGGAGAGCTGACGGCCGCTCCGGCGAATTCCACACCGATGGCGCCGGCCCCGCTGCTGGAGTCGTATGGGCTGTGGTCGAGCCAGGTCAGATCGCTGACCCAGTTGACGTGGGTATCTCCCGCGATCACAATGTTGTTGTCAATGTTGTTCTCGTAGAGAGTCTGCAAGGTCCTGTTCTTACTCGCCATATAGCCATCCCAAGCATCCAGGTTCAGTGGTTGTTCGGGCCCATTCTTGACTGTCATGTTCAAGTGAGAGAATACTGCAATGATCCTGTTAGATTAAGGTAACATTCCAAGCTTTTAAATAAAGAAAAGCATACCGATTTGACTGCCGAGGATGCGCCAGTGAGCACCACGGTTGGCTGACTCAATCAGGTTACGCTGCAACCAGGCCTCCTGACGGCTTCCCATCAAACTCCGACCGGCGTCATCTTTGATCTCGTTGATATAATTAGTGTTATCGTAGGTATCCGTAATGGAGCGGTCGTATTGTCTGGTGTCCAGCATGATCAGGTCCACCAATTTTCCAAGCTTGAAGTTTCTCCAGATGCGAAGGTTATCGTCCATCTCGACTTGTCTAAACTCGATTAATACGAACAACTTGACATTATTCACAGACGGCTCACCTGATGGGCATCCATTCGAAGTAAGCACGGACGGCGTTCATCTTACGCTGGTCAACGGAGACACCTCCGTCCTGAATAAATGATTTTTCGTCGTTCCTGAGCTCCGATGCGCCATCCCGGTAGGTGTTATCGGCCACCTCTGCTGCATTTAGAACCCAAACACGTCTTCCTTTTGTGAATGCAGTAGGGCCATACCGTGGTCATCCCAGACAGGAATCCAAGCAAACTTCTGATGGCTGGCAAGCAGATCCAAGTCGGTTCTGTAGGTGGCAATGCGCTTGCGGTAGTCATAGAGAGTGAAGATGGTTCGGTCCGGTTGAGGGATGCGTCCCATGCTGTTACCCCAGCCACTAAAGCGAAGCTTAGCTGATGTGGTCGACATTCTCGAGTTGATTCTACTTACTAGTCACCGTTCTTGTATTCGTAGAGGTAATCACTGTATACAATCAGTTTGAGCTCTTATGCAAATATCAAACGCCACTTACCCGAGATGGAGGACATAGTCCACGGAATCCTTGCGTACAGAGTGTCCGTAGGCATTGAAGAAACCAAATGCTGTATATTCTGTCAGTTCACACACATTCACACACAGGTCGACACGGAGACATACGGAAGTTGGCGCAAGAGTAAACGGCCAAGTTGACCTGGTCAACCTCCTCCTTCGAATTAGGAGCCGTCTTGGTTCTTCCAACCGGGCTCCTGTTGTCCGAATTGCAGACTTGGAACTGATAAAAATAAGTGGTGAATGGCTTCAACTTGGATGCTTCGACCTGGTAATTCAATGAGCGAGTTTCCCAAGTTTCCGATCCATAAACAGCTTGCTTACCTTAACAGTATAGTCAATGTCGGAACTCGTATATGCAGTACCTTCCGATGCAATGTGCTTGAAGCTCTCATCTTCAGACACCTTGTACTCCAAGCAAATAGGAGCATTCGACACGGCCGCCTGCTCCTCTGCGTCTTCATTCCTTGAGTATATCGGGACTGGGTTGTACAACGGAACAAGACCATGCGTAGAGCTATTCGAATGAACATCATCAAAACTCGGCGAGCAGCGAGTCCACAGAATTACCGAGTCTGCATAGGGATCTCCAGAAGCAACGCCATGGGTGAAGTGCAACTTGGATGGGTCAAAAGACGATCCTGGGACCCCGCGCTTCGCAACTCGGTGAATCGAGACACCCAGTCCTGGATGGTTCTCAGACGGACTGCGGTAATTCAGATTGCCTGAATAGCTCGCAGTGGCCGTGGCTGCAGATGACAGCACGAGAGACCAGGAGAGCTTCATTTCGACAGAAACAAGTCAACTGGAGGGTAAGAAACTGAGAAGCCAAACGAATGTTAGGGTTATTTAGGTGACCATAATCCAACAGGCGCTTGACTGGCTCATATATAATAAAGAAAATCGTGGTGGTTTCCATTTTGAGAGGAGTCACAGCCGATAATTTCGTGGCATCCAACATTTAATCTGGCGTCTGTTATTATCAGCGAATTGGAAGGATCAACAGCGACATGACCTTACAGCTCGACAGGATCGGCAGGAACATGAATTACTATGTACAGAAAAAAACCAGTTCTCGGCACTATGGTTCAGGAACGTGGTGAGCCACGTGGAACTACAAGGTTTATCACTGGCGGATTGGATGTAGTGCCAAGTGCCCTGATATTGTCACCTTTAGCCAGCCAAGATCTTTCAACTTTAAGCCCACATATATCCCTGTAATTTTGATTGTATTAGTAATTAACTGACCTAGGACAGACTATCCAAAGGCCAAGCATTGGTCATGGCAATTTTACACCATTTTATCCGATTGACTGTTTGTGAGAAGCTGTTAGGTACCTAGGTACCTAGTACGGTGCCGGAAATGCTTCGTACTGGCCAGTCAAGGTATATCGAGAACTCTGTCTATTATTACCGGTCTTTTACATATGTCGGGAGCATTAAAAGGAGGATAAGTGAGGGCGTAATTGGGACGCTAAATCGGAAGCGGCGAAACTACCCCGAAAAGGCAATTCACAGGTCCACTGTTTACATTCTGAAAACTGAATTCTGACACCACTCTGCTAATATTTGCATCCTGAGGTGCATTGCCATTGCATCTATCCTAGTCACCATAATCCAGTAGCATTTGGACCACCTCTTTGTGGCCTTTAACTGATGCGGCTTGGAGTGCATTTCCATGCGTCCACTCTGGGCATTAATTATGTCTGTGTGCCTCAAAATTTAACGTCTGCCCACTTTCGTTTCTTAGGGAATTGCCGCCTAGGGCGCTAACAATTCGTGTCAACGAGATGGTAGGTAAGCTCCTCTAGGCTTTTAAAGGTTGTGGAGTAGGCTAGATGCTTACAGTCGAAATCATGTTTGAGTTCTTTCAAATGATCTTCAATATAGGAGTGCCACTTTGGTGGTGAGAGGACGAATTAAAACATTATCTTTGACGGTTTCTCTCTCCTAGCACCTAGGCAAAACGGACATAGCCCTGGCTTTATAGGTGCGTTCCGAAAGATCATAGGATCGTAACGGAGGAAATCGCCTAGATTATTAAGATGCTCGTAGTAATGATTGTTCTATTCTAATTCATTGGCCGTGTATTGCTCTTGTAACCTACTCGAGAAAAGCCCTATATATTCTAATACCCGGTGGAATAACGGCCTATAGATATAATTTGACAAATCTAGGGATATAGACACAATTAAGCGATTTGCTTCTCTGCTCCTAGGGCTAAGACTCACTTGTCGAAAATTAGTAACATGTCCCTGTAACTAGATTCTGTTCGTGGCAGCACTACACACTAGATTTCATTGTTACTATGCTCCCCGAAATCCACAACACTGGCTATATATTTTAACGTTAGGTTATACTTGATACGTATCTTACTCGTGACAAAGCGAGGTTAGAGTGATAAAGCGAGGCTAGAGAGATAAAAGCGGAGGAAAAAAGAAGGTCACTTACAACTTTTTCGATCAGAATGGGAAAATGTACCTTTTGCTACACGGGCTGAATATTCGGTGAAGAATCTTCAGGTGGGTGAATATCTGCCCGGAGTGCCCTGAGGAGGGCTGAATTAGAGCGGCGAGCCGCCTATGCCCGAACCGTGGGCGCTAGGTGACCACGACCTTAGACATACTGTTGTATGTTTTTGCTTTTAGTAGTGTTTTCGTTAGATTTATATAGATATTTTGGTCTTATATTCACAGCGGAATGATGGGCATTAGCAAGAAACTACTATCCTATAAAGAATTTAGAGGGGGCCTATGTATGCTTTGAAACTGTACATTCCTGATGGGCCTAAATCTTAATAGCTATTGGAACAAAAAGTCGTTGACAACCGCACTCGTGTCTTCTTGAGGATTGGCCACATGAACAAGGACTTTGCCCCTGGCGCGCCCTGAGCGAAGTCTGTCAAATGCCTTCACGGCATCCTCAAAATCGTACTTGCTGTCGAAATTCAACTTGAGAACTCCCTTCTGGACCAGCTCCCCGAGCTTGACGGTGTGCTCCCGCGTATTTTTGAAGAAGAAGATGACGTATTTCCTCTTTCCTCCACCTAGAAACGAGGGCCAAGTCACTCTGCCAACAAACGTTGTCAAGGCCGATGCCCCGACCTGCACGAACACACCACCGGGCCTTAAGAAATGATGGCAATGGAAGTATAAATCCGACGGCAACCCGATATGATCAAGAATATGATCAAAGACAATCCCCTTCTTCTTCAAGACCCCAACAAGATCACCAACAGCTGTGTAATCAATAACCTCATCAGCCCCAAGCCTATAACACAACTCAACATTCCTCGTCGAACAAGTAACAGCAACAAAACAACCCATATGCTTAGCAAGTTGAATCGCAAAAACCCCACACCCCCCAGAACCCCCATTAATAAAAACCTTATCCCCCTTTTTAACATACCCATCCAAAGCCTGATAAGCCGACTGCCCAGCAATTCCTAAACTCGCCGCATCATCCACACTCACGCCCTCGGGAACAGGCGCGATGAGTTTCGACGAGATGGAGAGATACTTAGCGAGCGCACCGAACTTCACCGGCATACTATGACACCCGTAGACAAGCTCGCCTGGCTTGAAGCCGGCGCCCGGGCCGGTCGTCACCACACGCCCGCAGAAGTCCATCCCCGGGGACGCTGGCATCCCGATGGCCAGGTGCCGGACGTGCGGGCCCATTTCCGGGACTTTGAAGTCGGCTGGGTTGAGCGCGCTTGAGAGAACTTCCACGAGGACCTCGTCGCCTTTCAGAGAGGGCGGGACGCGCGCCGATGGGTCTAGATACATGTTCTTCTCCAGGCCGCCGGATGTGCCGCTGTAGAGCCAAGCTTTCATTGTTGTGGGGGGTTGTGGTAGTTCCATTGTGGGACCCATTGTGGGATCCATTGTGGGATCCATTGTGGTTGTGGATGAGAAGGTGCTTTCCTGTATGGATGTTTTTGCTGGAGCTTGGAGCTTGGAGTTGATATGAACTGGTTGGTGTTCACCGCTTTGCGGCGGTACTGTATCGATTGCAGATTACGCTAGTAAAATGGCAAAAAAGCAAAAAACATGCCCTCGTCCAGGTTCGAACTGGAGACCTTCGGATGTCAATCTTGTTACCAAGAATGTCATAAGAAAGGATATATGAGACCGACGTCATAACCAACTAGACCACGAAGGCTGATAGATGAAAAAGTTCGCTGTATTTGGCATCATGAGCCAGAAGTAAATCCCAGGTCTTAAGCCGTAAATCTCACATAATGCGAATTGTTGATATTGACCTCAGCGGCCTCGAAAGGGCCCTGTGCTATGATCATATAGCATTATTTGGCAATTAAGTGTGTCGTCTAATTCATTTCAATGTTTCAGACACTGTTTATCCATTAAGGGTGTTCTTGATTTTTGGTTTGTTGCTTGAAACATATATACATGAAGTATTCAACTATTTATACCTTTCCCTTTTTTTTTTTGTCCCTTTTTTTTTTACTCCTTTGGTAGCATGTCCAACATACATGCAGAGGCCCGAATCTATCTATATTATTATGAGCCACATCCTGATACTTCCCCTCTCCTCCTACAGCTTATGATCTGCACTGCAACCCCTAGATGCATTGGCGGGAACAGGAGCCCACTCCTAAGTTAAGCGATATCCATATAGGTAAGTTAGGTATACGACACCAAACTGACATATTGATTGACGTAAGTATGTTTTAAAAGCGCCATGGTTTACATGTTCTCCGTATGCATGGTTTGTGATTAACAGCCCAGCTCAAGTCGTCACCCAACAACGCAGCATATACACATAATGCACAGAATGCACAGGGGGCGTATAACATAGAGCCCAGAGAATCCAATGGAATAAGAAACACACATGCTATGCGCGGCAGAGAATGGCCATCAATACACGAGTGTGGTATGTTGGCTGCCCCTGGCCTCGAACACATCGCCACATCTAGGCAGCCTCACGGTACACAAGGCACCCATGGGCTTATCTCTACTACTATAGTCATATCAGGATCTTAACATCAAAGAGAACCGAATCAAATCATATCAAACCAACAGGCAGACCCCGTTGCATGCATAATTGTCTGCGATGGCAAAAAAGTACTCTCCGCCTTGTCTGCCTATATGGAACCACCCAGGGACATGACCTGAACACCACCTGTTCTCTTCTCCCCTACAGAGATCCATGACTTTACTGCCCTCGACCCTCGCCCAATCCACCTTGGGCGAGAAGTGCGCAGTTTACCTGGACCAGGTCGCCGACAACCTCCCCGTTCACCTCCAAACTCTCCGCCTCCGAGTTGACCCTATTCTCACCTACCTGTCGACCACGCTCGGTCCAGTCGCGCAAAAGCTCCCATTCGCCATCGACGAACAAACACTCGCTCTCTTTGCAGCCCTTATCGTCTGTCTGCTTACCGTCGTCGCGATGAGCTGGCGCAACATCCTGCGTCGCTCCCCGAGCTACGCACCCGCATCCTCCCCGCATGTCAGCGATGCGGACTTCTCCTATATCAGGCCCGGCGAAATGGACGCACCCGCAGCAAGTCCCGACTCGGAACCCGATGTCATCCGTCTCAAACACCGCGGGACCAACTACCCACTCCACTTCGAACCATACTCAATTGGCGAATCGTTGACCGTGGGAGAGCTCCGAGACAAGGCTGCCAGCACAATGGGTGTCAGTAGCCCGGACTACGTTAGATTGTTGTACAAAGGGAAACTGCTGAAGGACAACACACAGCGTTGCCGTGAAGAAGGAATCAAGCAGCATTCCGAGGTTATGTGTGTGGTCTCTGATTTCGGCCCCGGCAGCCCAAGCGATGCCTCCGACGACAGCGGACGGCACATCCCCGTACCAGCGCCGCACCCAGCCCGCCACAGCGACGCCGAGCAATCATCGTCTCCTCCGACTCCCCGGGGCAAGAGCGGAAGAAAGAAGAAGAATAACAGGAAGAAGCCGGTCACACCCCCCGAGCCCGTTGCTCCACCCCGGCCATCTTCGTCAGGCAATTCGGGCAACCCCGCACCACCTCCCAACATCAAGTTAATGCCGTCTCGGCTGGCGCAAGTCAGTGCTTTGGCCGGGTGGCTGCAACAAGAGGTGGTTCCGTTGGTCGATGAATACGTGGCGGACCCGCCGACCGACCCCAAGAAGCGGGACTTTGAATATAAGAAATTATCCGAGACAATCCTTGCGCAGGTGATGTTGAAAGCGGATGGGATTGAACCAGACGGTGACGCGACGATTCGCAATGCGCGCAAAGCGCTCATCAAGGACGCGCAGGCGGCTCTTAACAAGCTGGACACAATCGCGAAGCTCTAAAGGCCTGCTCTCCTTTCCTTGTGTATACTTTGGAGCATTTGGACGGACATAGACTATGGGGGTATCTGTTTTAGCGAGTCTCGTTTTCTGGGACCTGTCAACCCCTCGGGATGTTTCTTTGCATGGAGAGGATCGGCGTATATGTGAGGTGTCAACTTTTGTCATTTTCCCAACGATAAACCTGTCAGCTTCGGCATACAAGTTCAAATTTTCTCTATGAAAGTGGGGAGGAAATACAGAGGTACTAGAATCTACGCCTTAAGATCATGGATCTAGTGATCAACGTAACTTAGTTCAGTAGTTCAGTAGTTCAGGGGCATCGCACGGCCCACGGAGACCAAATTTTTTTCTGATTTTGATACATGTCGCATGTATAAAGTTATTAGAAACAGGTAGGTTATACAATTGATTTGATTACTTTATTGAAATAGTCCAAGAGGCGTAGGAATATATACATTGGCGCGCCAGAGTCTCATATATAAGACGTCGGACTCGGTCTAGTCCTTTGCTATTCCCAATTGGGACGTTAGTTCGAACGGCCTCCTTAGCCCTCTTTCTCTTCTCTGACTTAACCCCTCGACATTCCCTTTCCCCCTCCGGGTTATACACCTTGACGTGTGATCTCGTGACTTGGACTTCAACCCCAATTGCTTCCGATTTCTCTCTCTCTCTGTGAAGCTCCGAGCCACCCCGAACCGGTGGACCCTTACCTCTGAGGACCACGGAACCAGCAGTCGGCTATCTCCCCGTGGACCAAGGAGAAGAAACACCCCCCCTGCGTATTTACAATTTGCCTGTTTCGGCCCAGACCCCTTACACGTTCGTTTGTCCCGGGCATGTCTTGATCACACAAACAACCTATCGTTGTATCTGATCGTTACCAACCGGGTTTCAGCTGGACTGGCCTCTTTCGATTACAACACTTCTGGGATGGCGGGCGTCGCAACCGCAACCTACTCTGCAGATGCGCTACCGTCGCCTGGCGGCGTAGACGGCTCGCAATGGGATTTCGCCGTGCCGCTTGGGAACGAGGTAAGAATTCCCTATGTGGCAGTGGAATGGAAGCCAGCTTTTCTTTCCTCTGGAATGGCAGCCCGCGAATAGAGAGAGAGAGAGAGTGAGAAAAAAGCGAAAAAAATGCTGATCCGTTTCCCCCGCAGGAGAATCAAAACCCCTCGAGACCACGCCACTCACACGACTCTAATTTAATCCGCGCGAGATCCGCCCGCAAGCGTAATTCCAACGGTTCACGCAGTTCCTCCGTCTCTCGAACCGTCCACACAAACGAATCGCCGTATCTGAATTCCAGCCGGGGACGGAGGGACCACAGCCTTGGCCGACGTGGGAGCGAAGTTGGCAGCATGCGAGATGCCGCTGGCTACGATACGTCCAATCGGAAAGACAACGAGGAGGGCAAGGATGGACTCAAGTTATATCTGGAAGGGGAAACGAGCCAGGAGAAGTGGATCCACCGCGACAAGCTGGCAAAGATTGAGAGCGAGGAACTTCACCAGGCGGCTATTCTTTTCCAGCGTCGTATGAGAGGAGAAAGCAAATCGAGCGCGGGACGAGGGAGAAGCCATGATTCTCAGCAGAGTGCTGCTAATGGGACTGGTGCGGCCACTTCGCCTGCGGCGGAGTTCTCTGAGCCCTGGCCGGAAATGCGGGGAGAACCGGGCAAGCGTGGTGTGAACGACCATGTAGATGACGATGAGCGGAAGCACTGGGATCTTCGCCGACCAGAGGAGATTGCTGCCGACGATGCAGCTACCAGCATCTACAGTAACCCAAGCCTTGGGAAAAGCGCATCCCGAATACCGGTTTCAACAGCCAGTCCGGTGCCCATCCCAGGCATGGGCCGTGATTCTCGTGGACCTCGCAGCCGTGCAGCAACAGACGAAGATGACGACCGCTCTTCACGGGGCCGGAGAGCCAGTGAGCCTATTAATATTGAGCAGGATGGTTCGAGTCCATCTCCGGGCAGCCGACCGGGCAGCCGTGGCTTCGGTACCACCCCGAACACCACAGGCAAGAAGAACCCAAGGGCAACAGGCTCTACCAACCGAAAGACCTCTGCTCCGCCCACGAACAGGAAGACAAGCACCGCCCGCTCCCGTGCTGTGTCGGGAAACACCACACAGCGACCTACGACCCGGGGTGCTGACAGTCGGCCAACAACTGCGGCCAATCGCCCCGAGGGAGATCCGCCATGGTTGGCAACCATGTATAAGCCTGATCCTCGCCTCCCACCAGAACAGCAAATGCTTCCTACCCTCGCCAAAAAGATGCAACAGGAACAATGGGAGAAGGAAGGCCGGACACCCAACACGTACGACCGCAACTTTGCACCCATCGCAGTTCATCCATTTGATGCACCTCCTGTTCCTTCCAAGGTCGAGCCAGAACCAGAACAGGAACAGCAGCCCGTCGAAAACCTCCAGCTCGAGGAACTTCCTCAACCGCCTAAGAGCCCCGATCCCCAGCGACCAAACACCGGCATGGGATACAGCACCATGCCAAAGGTGCAGGATACACCCCCAATGGGACTGACACCCAATCCCAACCCCAATTGGAACCCGCCGGTTGTCACCGCACGCGAGCAACCGAAGAAAGAGAAGAGCTGTGGATGCTGCATTGTGATGTGATGGACCCTATATTCCATCTCCGCAACACATATTCCAAATCTCTTGTCCATCTCCCCAAGATACCTTTGATATTTGCACATCTGCTTGATTCCTTTCTCTGTTATTTTTTTTACCTCAGCGTCTCCGGCGGGATGGTGTTCTGTCGGTTCTGTGACTTTATATTCCAAGCTCGAAGGATTCCAAGCTCGAAGGCCTTTTTGCTTTTGATCCACCTTTCACATCTTCAGACTGCTTTTTAATTCGGTGTCAATCTTCACACACCGGGGCATGGTACCTTTCCTTTCCTCCCATGCATCCATTCCTTGACTTTCCCTTCTCTTCATTTGCTCATTTCTTGCTTTCTCTCTCTGCTATAGCAGAAAAGGGACTCAAAAAACTTACCTCAGACTGCAATGCACAGAAACAGAGACCCTCTCGCAGAGAGAAAAGAAAAAGAACCAAAAAAAAAGAAAGCACATCGAGATACCCGATATCCCACCCGGCCGTCTTGTTCCTGTCCATACCATACACCTCTGACTTTCTAAACTTGATGCCTTCCTTTCCTTTCTCGACCTCCCTATTTCTTTAGTTCCGCATTTGCTTGCAGCTACTTTTGCCATATTCCCAAGCCTCTTCTTCCTAGCGTTTTATTATTATTATTATTTTTCTTTCTCCTCGACTCTTTGCTCTGATTTTGTCGGGTGATCTGGTCCAGTTCCGGACATACCTGCTTTCCTGTTCAGATTTCCATCGCAGATAGTTGCTTTTTCCGGCTGCTTATCAGATATCAGGTTAGTTGAATACATACCTGTATATGAACTGCTGTTTGTTTCTGAATATCGTAGTTTGGATCAAAAGTAAGTATCCTTCCCCGGACCTGGCATGCAAATTCATTGTGAACGGGATGTAGAATTTTCTATTTCACTACTACTCTATGAGAACCACCAGTAACTTTCACAGTTACAGTATGATCAACATAGCTCAACCCTCGCGTCAAGCGGTCACCATCAATGGTGATCGAAGGCTTCCTAGACGCAGTGACAAAAGGCAAAGTAAGCTGACCAACAGTACCCTTCGGCACTGAAAAGTCCAACGTATATCCGCTGGACCCCTTCCTCCAAGATGCCTGAAACTTCCCAAGAGAGGTAACAAAACCCGCCTCAGCAGACTCTAAATCTCCAAACTGGGGCGCAATCTTCCACGTCTGTCCCAAACGCGAGGTAACCGTAAGACCAACAATATATTCTGTCAAAGCAGATGTCGGACCCGCAGACCAACCGTGTGCATGGGAGACATAAGACGGATCATAGCCATACCCACGGTCCATCCGATACCCGAAGGTCCCGTTCCGAAGATAGCCCTCGATCACTGTGCTCTCTGTACCATTTGGATTGTTGATATACCAGCCCCAGCTTCGACGAATGAGATCAAGTGCACGGTCAGGCTTCCCAACAACGAAGTGACTTTGGATTTCGAAGGAGGAAATGAATGACGCGATGTTCTCCGGTAACTCTGGAGCGACGGCGCCTATTGGGGTCCAGTTCACGAGAAGCTTTTCTGAAATGCTGGCTGCGCGCTTTTTGTCTACGACTCCGAAGAGGATGGCCATGCTGTTTGCGTCTTGCGGATGTAGAGAGGTATCTGTTGCGTTGTCCTTGAATGCGCCGTATGAGTCGTCCCAGCAGTAGGTGTTGATTGCTTCTTTCAGGTCTGCGGCTTGTGAGGTCCAGGTGCTTGATAGGTTGGTTGTGTCTCCAGCCCAGGAAGCAAGAGATGCTCCTGTGTTTAACGTATGATAGAGGCTAGAGTTATTAGATTAGAGGTCCCGGAGTACTTGATGGATGGATAACTCACATCATTTGTGCCTGTGAGTTGTTATAGCCTTGCTGCCATCTAGCCCAGTCTCGAGTGCCCGTCACATTCAAGAGCCCACTAGGGTAGGTTACCTTGCCATAGATGAACTTCATAGCATGCTGATAGCTCTCCCAATTTTGTAGCAAGAAGTCGGTGTCATTGGTATACAGCACATAGTTGTAGGTGCCTATCATCGACCACATATGATATGTGTCCGAGTTTTTCTGACTGAGCGGAGGCCCAGATTCATCAAATGCACCTGTTGTTTTGTCCTAGATCTGTCAGAATAAGATTGAAAAGAAAACAAAGGGTAAGCTACCTGCGTGTTGTACATAATCTGCAACGCATTTTTAACGCTGTCCAGATCCCCCAAGCTCACAAATGCCGAAGGCACCGCGATTCCCATATCACCAGGCCACACCGCACGATCCCGTTTCGCGCCATCCACTATGATGGTATCTCCCGGGCCCATAGTCCCGTTATTCACCCAGCCAGAAGTAACACCTTTCGTCACACGGCCGGTGTTCACGGGTACTTCATTTGTCTGCAAAGTATAGGCCCCGCTATACCAGATGCGATTCAAAAGCTCATCACTGCAGTGGAAATAACCCTGATAGGCTCGGAGATTTGACCAAGTAGGTTGGAACGCAAGTTCCAAATTTAAATCATCGATCTTCACGTTGGCCGAGTCATCTGTGAGCAAAAAGATCGTTAAGTATCGGAATCCTCCGCGCAGGTATTTGTCTGGCATGTCGTAGCTTCCTTTTCCGGCCGATGAGAAATTGGTATATAGGGCTCCATCATGATAAAGGGCATTTGATGAGTCTGACCACTCTCCGATCCAGTTTTTGGCTTCTGTGAATGCGAGCCCTAATGCTCCGCTCCCGGACGAGGTATAGTTCAGATGGACTATACCGCCAACTTCAATTCCAAAGTCGAATACGATTAGTGAGCCGTTGCCCTGTAAGGTGACTTTGTATGGATGGGACGTGTCTGTGATGGCGTTTTTCTTCAGCTCTGATAGGGTTTTGGCTGGTCGGACTGTGCGCGATGCTGGTGCGAAGATATTTTTTTCCCATGGCCCGCTGAATGCGGTGTCTGTCGGCCCGGAACAGGAGGTATTACGCCAGCATGTCTCTGCTAGAGCCGACGAGGCGAGGAGCAACGAGCCCAGTATTATGCCCAGCCAGTTCAGTCGCGCCATGATGATTGCTAGAGAAGTAATGATGCAAGAAACGACTAACTTACATATACTAGATACCAAGAAGAGGGGCAGTATCTAAAACTAGCAATACAAGCATTCCTCGGCAGTGAATAACACGAGTGGCTTACCAGGGGTTTGCCGATTTGAACGCTAGAAACCGAGGAGCTCTGCTGCATATCAGCGATTGGTGGAACAATCCTACAAGACAATATTGAAATCCCATACTCTAGGCAAAGATCGACAGAACAAGCACCTTTGAGGCTTTACAACTGACAATTTCCTTGCAGGTTACATCGATCCCCTTCTTTTCCCCGCAGAACTTTCTCCGCAGGTCGATTCGCGATGTCCGCTCGGCGCAAAGGTCACCGAACGCAACGGACGAGTATTAAGCCTCCAAGGTTGTAAATCCAAGGATATAAGTATTTGACTGTCGTTCACCATCGGTATTATTTAATCTCAACAATTCGAGCCAAAATCACAATGCGACTATTCAGGGTGTCTTTATTCGCCCTTCCATTAAGCTTGGGCCTATCGACGTTAGCATTCGCAAATGAGCAAGGAAGCTCAAATACATGCACTGTCAAGGCCAACGGCCACCAGAAAGATGATGTCCCTAACATCCTCAAAGCGTTCCGTCGATGCGGTAATGGTGGCACAATTGTCTTCCCTGAAGATCAATCATACTGGATTGCAACACGCTTGAACCCTGTGGTAAATGATGTAACAATTGAATGGCGTGGAAAATGGACAGTAAGTGGGAATATCAAACGGATTAAGAAGCCACAGCTGACTCAAACCAGTTCTCAGATGATCTAGATTATTGGCGCAACAATTCATACCCCGTCGCATTCCAAAACCACGCCGCCGGGTTTGTTATCACGGGTCAGAATATCAGAATTGATGGATATGGTACTGGTGGAATTGATGGAAATGGGAATAAATGGTACACTGCAGAGAAAGGCAATACAAAACCCGGAAGACCAATGCCTTTTGTGTTTTGGAATGTATCCGATGTCAGTGTTGAAAATTTCTACATCAAGGATCCCCAATTGTGGAGTGTCAACATTATGAACGGAACCAACATGCGTTTCAACAACATCTACTGCAATGCGACTGCAGTAGATGCACCCTATGGCGAGAATTGGGTGCAAAATACAGATGGTTTCGGTAAGTCGACATAGAACACTTCCATCATCTCTCTTCATCTGTTGGATTGAAGTCACAGTGGCTAACACTTTATTCAGATACAATGGACGTGGAGAACGTTCAACTTACGAATTTTGTTTACCAAGGCGGCGATGACTGCATCGCAATCAAGCCACGGTCATACAATGTCGACATCCACAATGTCACTTGCCGCGGTGGGAATGGAATTGCCATTGGCAGTCTGGGCCAGTATCTAGAGGACTCAAGTGTGAGGGATATCCGCATCGACGGAGTCAAAGTGATCCGATATAACGAGGACTTGCACAACACCGCCTACATCAAAACGTGGGTTGGAGCTCTTGTGCCCCAGACTTCATATGAAAGTGCCGGACTCCCACGTGGAGGTGGCTGGGGTAGCATTGAGAATGTATTGTTCTCAAACTTCGAAGTCTATGGCGCTAATGCGGGGCCTGCAATCACGCAGGACAATGGGAACAATGGCTCTCTGTCAGGGACAAGCCTGATGAGCATTTCCAATGTGGCGTTCGTGAATTTCACTGGCTATACGCATGGTCCGTCGACGAAGGTTGCATCTGTTTCCTGCTCGAAACTGCATCCGTGCTACAATATTGACTTTGATAATGTTGTGCTTTACCCTGGGGAGAATGCGACAACGCCGGGGGTTGGATCTTGCAAGTATACAGCAGAGGCAGGGGTGCATGGGCTTGATGGATGCTAAATACGTAGACCCTAGGTAGAACTAAAGAATAATTAATTATTTAAGAAAGGATGCAACATAAAGCGCAATTGGATTTGGCCCCCACGGCACAATCTCCATCCGGTTAGGGCTAGCAGAGTTAGAGCCTCCAATGAGGTCTTGGCTGCATTTAGGTCAGCAACTTTTGCCGAAAAACTCGCCAATGATATAAGATATATGTCCACTACTTGCAGTAAATGAGTCACATGTTTCCTATCTATCAACGTGGATATTTTCTTGGTGTCTTAGCCAAGGTTATGCGGGCTTTGATATTGGGAGCAATCTTGGTGGGCCGGTCTAACCGGACCCTGACACACCAAGCAGCTTCAGTCTTTTACGTCTAGCTTCCGGGCGGAGCCAGCGACCAAATGGGGCCACTCGAATTGATCTTCAGTTTGTGCCCATTGAAAAGCAATGATAATTAAGCGGTCTGAAGTTCTAAAAGTATAATAGGGGTTCATGAACTTGCAATAGGGGTCTGTGTCCTGAGCTAAAAGTTGGGCAATCCACCTGACCATAGGGCAGCAATGGGACCCTGAAGCCACTATGGAGGCTTAGCCTGCGCCCCGAAATGAGGCAGGGCTCGGTGAATTTTTCTAGGCTGACTGCCTAAAGCATGCTAGTGTTAAAATTGAGGCTCTAAGTATAAAGGGACCCCGTGTGTTGATTCCTGACTTTTATTTCTACAGTCCTAACTCTCACTGCCTCACATAACTTCGAGGTTAGCCCTTTTGAAGACCTACAGATCATTCGAAATGCGCATGAACTTGTTTCTCGCCTCTGCCCTCGCGGCTCTGGCTACTGCCGCCGAACCCAGCACAACTACCGTCAGCTATTTCGGAATCGAGGCCGATCTGCCGTATGTCAACCTAGGCAGTTATACTAGCACCGCTGCCCGCGTCGCTGGCATCGACAAGTACGCCACAACTTACGAGATTGCCTGCATGAAAGGTGCAGACAAGTGCGCAATCCACCACCCCCTGACCTTGGTCCAGGGCCCTGCCACCTTCAGCTTCTCCGGTCAAGTGACCGTCACTACTGCAGGTGGTACTGGTGTTGCAACCAACGTCATGGCATGCTCCTTCACCCACAGCTCTGAGTCTGTTTCCTGCTCATGGAGTGCTGCTATCACCGCCTCTGTTAAAGGCTACACTACTTCCATTTCTGCTTCTGAATCAAGTACCTCCATCGAGCCTTCGTCCGTCAGCTATAGTGCTTTGACTGTCACCGATGGTATTTACGCTTTCACTGCCGATGCGACGGCTTCTGCTTCCGCTGTCCAGGTCACGGCCACTGGAGCTGCTGCTGCTGCGAAGCCTTTGATTACGGCTGCGCCATTGGGAGCTGCTGCTGCCGCTGCCTTTGCGGCCATGTTCTAAGCGTTACGATTGTTATTGATACCCGATGTTTCTTTCTTTTCTACTGGGCCTTAATGCTTTAGGTATAATTGTACGTCCAATGAGTCATGCGACCCAGAATAGTTTGTTTTAAAATGTATAGGGAACTAAAAAGTCCGCTGCTCCAAAATCCTTTTATATGTCATTCTCTCCCAGTATTGTTCGATAGCTCTCTTTAGAAATCCTAAGACGGAAACGTTGGATTTACCTCGTTAAATAAGGTTTAAATTGCACAATAAAAATCTTATATGCACCGTCCAACTAGAAGATAAATGTTAGTAAACTGGATACTTATTATACCGCCCACCGTCAGCGTAGAATCGTAATATCAAAGCTCGCTGTTGCTCAAGCCATTGCCTAAGCCATTTTTGAGTGTATCCTAGCTCGTCTTGATCAGCATATATACAGTACCTTGAAAATTGAAGTTAGTCTTAGCAACGTACGGGCTAACTTCGACCTACAAAGTACTATACTAGCGATACAAATACCACACCTTCCACAAGACATGGAAGTAATCAATGCGCGCGATAATAAGAAAATTAAATATACATTTTCAGCAAAAGATTGTATAGCTTTACTCGACTTCATAGATCGTACCATATCACGTGCATCCCCACACTCCAGCTCCGTCGGCAGCCGCCAGTCCTGCTTTCCCCATTCCTCATCCAACAAAATAAGCCGAAATGGCTTCTTCGCTCCGACAGAACCCGTGGCGGGCCTGCCAATGCCTCACCCGTCAGCAATTACGCACAACACGCCTGAGCTCCCGTCATCTCTCCTCCAGCACCCTCCGATCCAACAATGCCACCAATAACCCCCTCCGCTCCCGAGCTTCTGCCGCGCAGGCTTCCCAGCAAGCATCCCAGGCCAAGCGGAAGATTATGTTCTCCGCCGCCGGCATGTTGGCTTGCGGAGTCGCCATGTACGGAGTCATCAAGCTGGACTTGTTTGGACTAGATGAAATAGAAGCCAAGAAGCAAGACAGCAAGTCGGACGCGAACAAATCCCCGCAACAAGAATCCGCACCTACACCCCCAAATAATGGCGCAATGAGAATGGATGGACCAGCCGGATTTCCCAATGGCGGACCATCTGTAATCACAATCCAAGGCCAGGACGGCCTCGAGCAAGTTCCAACGGGCACCAGCACGATACCGCATTTCCCCAGCGTTATCCGCCTGCCCTCGCCCGACCAAATAGAAGGCAAGAAATCAGGCGATGAACTGGCCCCCGCTTCCGGAGACGAATACCAGCTCCTAGGCCTGGGCATCCGCACCGTCTCCTTCCTCTCGATTCAGGTCTACGTAGTGGGTCTATACGTCGCCAAGTCCGACATCACCGAACTGCAACGACGCCTCCTCCGCACGGCCATCCACCCTCCATCGGACGATGCCCCAGTCGCCATCTCCGGTGCGGGCGCCGACGCCGCGACATCCCTCGTCCCATTAGAGCGCCAACAACTCAAGGAGCTCCTTCTTGACGCGGACCGCGGTGATGCCGCTTGGACAGCCATTTTGAAGGAGAACGGTATCCGTACTGCGTTCCGCATCGTCCCCACTCGCAACACGGACTTCATGCATCTGCGCGACGGCTGGGTACGTGGTATCGTAGCCCGCGCGCAGTCGAAGAAGCCTGCGCCTGGCTCGACCCAACCCGGCGAGTTCCAGGATGAGTCCTTCGGCACATCTATGAATGACTTCAAGGCTGTCTTCAGTGGTGGCCAGCAGAAGAATGTTCCCAAGGGCCAAACTCTTGTCTTGATGCGGAATGCTCAGGGCGGTTTGGATGCGCTCTTCCAGACTGATCCTGCCAAGCCGGTGCGCTTGATGGGTCGGGTTCCCGATGAGCGTATTAGTCGTCTGGTCTGGTTGAACTACTTGGCTGGCAAGAATGTTTCCAGTGATGGCGCGCGGAAGAGCATCATTGATGGAATTATGGCCATTGTTGAGCGGCCTCTTGGAACTGTTGTGCAGAAAGTTATCTAATCTGATTGATTATAACTTTTCTTTGATTCTTGTACTACCATATGCATGTACGTTAATTGTTGTACTTCTCGTCATTTGGATCTACTTTATTCCCAGAGATACGAGACTCCACTCAATGCGAATTTAAAATGGCGGAAACAGGCCATCTACCAATCATTTCTAGATTATGAAAATCCTCGATGTAGCTGCAGCGCTGCGCAATTAAGGATATTATCCTTGGACTCTATTGAATCTAATAGTATATAGTATTCTGAAAAAATGTGCACGATCATAACGCTTAAACGGCACCAGCCTCTTGCAAAAGCTCCTTGAGGTCCGACTTGGCCTGGAGGTCGGAGTTACCACCGATGTGCTTCTGCTTGATGAAGATGTTGGGCACAGTGCGCTGGCCGGAGATCTCAGCGAGGGCAGCCTGGATAGCGGATCCCTCCTCTATAAATCGAAACAAGAGACATTAGCAAACATTCGGCAATGATGAAAGAATATCAAAAGCGCAACTAAGCTCCTCCGCGGAGAGAACAGAAGCAACGGGGAAACACTCACCCTCAAGGTCCAGCTCAAGAGTAGTGTACTTGGCGCTCAAGCCATCGAGGAGCTTCTTCGAGGAGTCACAGTAGGGGCAGTAAGACTTGGAGAAAACAACAACAGCGTTGTCGTTGATGAGCTGCTGAGCGCGGTTCTTTGCGGCGGACATAGTGGCGGGATTTGGACCGGCGAAAGTGCCGAAGAGACGAGTGAAGAACGAAATGGTGGGCGAAAGGAAAAGAGGCCGGAGGTGATACGGTCTCTTTATGGGGCGGGGTAAGTTTAAGGATATGAGGTGAGCAAATGGTGACAGTCGGTGATTGCGGAATCGTGCGATGATGTCAGGTGATAACATTTGTCATCTCTTTGATCTGGGCCCCAACCTCGGCCTTTGATAGTCTTTCATTCATAGTCCATTCTTCGGTTTTCTTTCGCTTTCGAATAATGGAAGTGATTTCTGACCAGTCAACTGCTAGCGTGGGAAGTGTACTCCTACTGTCTTGATCAGTGCTTTTCATACTGTTTTGTTACAGTAGTTTTCGAAATCAGTTTAACCTCCACACTCTTACAAACTGAATACCAGCTAATATATCCGAATTGTGCGAGCTCCAATTACATATAGTCTTTTATATCCGTATTCTAGACCGCATTCTTTAATCGTAAGAGTACTTTAAAATTCGACCGTGGAACTACGAGGAGTATATTTATGTGAAATTGCTAACTTATATACGACCTTCCTTCTCACCCCTAGCTACCAACCTTCTCTACTCCTACCACTCTCCGAGCTAGTCAATATTAACCTAAGTAACACGGTGTTATGCACCACTATCTGGTCGTCGTTATGTTGGAAGGATCCTAGGTTATATTTGCCTTATGCTTCTCTGCGTTCTAATGTCAACGATACGCCTCCTAACCGTACCGTCGCCTAATAGGCATTATATAGGCTAAGTCTTTCGAGGGTATCGGGAAATGACGCTAGGTAGAGCGCCGAATAGTTCTATACCGAACTATTGGACTATTTCGTGAGTGTTGTTAAGTTATAATCAAGTAAAGTCACCGAAGTTCTAAAGTGTAAGTTAGACACAAGTGACAATGTGCGACTGATCACGAAGAACTAAACTAGATACATAAATGAATGCCTTTATTTGCCCCAAGTTCTTCCACAGTCTGCACCAGCCTCATATCACAGAAATTCTGCATTAGAGTCTCGCCGAGAAGCTCTTCGGGCTCTTATCATTGTGAGCATGAGCTGCTGCGGCGCGGCCAGCCCTACGGCCAAATACGGCACCAGATGTAAGGCCACTGCCACCGGGGTAGTTGTCGTAAAAAAGACCGCCAACCATTTCACCGGCGCAGTACAAGCCAGGCACGACAGAGTTGGTAGCCGACGAGATGACGCCCGCAGTCTCATGATCAACAGCTAACCCGCCAAATGTGAAGGTGACGCCGCAGGTCGCCTTGATAGCCATATAGGGCCCCTTTATAAGAGGCGTAGCCCAGTTTGATTTGGATAATGCGAGTTGCTTGCGGCTCGACTGAGTAGAGAGACCGTCCTTGACAGCCGGATCCCACTTGTGGCCGGGGTTCTCTTCTTGAAAGACAGTCACCGCGTTGTTGTATTCCCTGATTGTCTCCACAAACTTGTTCGGATCCTTCAGGCCACATTTGGCACACTTTTCGGCCAGCTCCTCTAAAGTAGAGGCCGTGATCTTTTCCACAATGCCATCGCGGTACTCTTCGCTTCGCAGCCAAGGTGTCATCTGGGCATCCCAAACCTGAAAGGCGGCATGGCCGGGTTGTGCCAGAATTGCTTTGCCGAAAATCGCGTACGTGTAGTTGCGAAGGTCAACACCTTCATCCACAAAGCGCTCGCCTTCAAGGTTCAGCATCAAGCCGAGGGGGTAACCCGACTTGGTAAATTCGTTGGAGATGACACGATCACCTGAATCAGGAGGAGCATTGGCGTCCCACGCAACAGAGTGGCAGCCAGACCAGTTGCCGGCTTGCTTGGCCGAAACATCCCGTATAGCCATTTCTAGACATGAGCCAATATTGTAGGGGGTGCCGCGTACTTTAGCGAAATCCCAGTTTGGTCCGAGGAACTGCGACCTCATTCTAGGATTGGCCTCAAAGCCTCCGGCCGCTAGAATCACAGCTCCGGCTAGAATCTCCCGTTCACCAGCGGCATCTTCCACAATGACAGAGCCGACGGCCTTGGTAGCAGGATCGACCACGAGGCGCTTGGCTGCTGTTGAGAACAAGACCTTGACTCCGAGCTTTTTAGCTGCTCGCCGGTGATCCTCGATCAATCCCTTTCCGCCATCCTGCGTCTTGAGGCACATGCCGCCCCAGAACTTGAAGCGCCCATCGATTTTGTATGCCTGACGATTGAATGACAGCTGGAATCTTACTCCATGGCCCGCTAACCATTTGACCGCCGCATTAGAGTCGTTTACAAGAGTATGAGAGAGGGCGGGATCAGATCGTCCCACGCAGATACGGGAGATATCGTCTGCGAAATTGGTAGTCGTGTAAGGATCCATGTCAATTTTGGACGCTGTAGCCTCGTCCACGTTGTTCACAATCGGCAAGACATCTGCCAATCCATGGTGGACTGTCCTGAAAGCGCCAGCGGTGAAGTAGGAGTTCCCGCCTACCCAGTCTTCGGGGCAAGAGTCAATCACGAGGACGCGACGAGCGCCCGACTCTGCAGCGGAAATGGCAGAGCTGAATCCTGCATTTCCACCTCCAATAACAAGAACGTCAACCTCGCTCAAAACTGGCGCCATGGCGGATAGAGGAGCTGAAATGCCCTTTATGGAGATTCAGGCTTGAATGGAGTGCTGGTAGGCAGCTTGAGGATTTGTTGGTGCGGGTGATGGATGACGACGGGCCGGTGTGTCCCTCGAAGAGACGAGTAGGCAATGAAAGGGGGATGACAGAACTGTCTTGCCAAGGGGGTATGGTTTGGATTAATTTTCTCGAAAGACCAGAAGCATGAGTAGGTAAAAGTATTAAGTTATATACGTAGGAAGTATTACATGACGTTACAAACTATGTCGGTTACCTGGGGAAGTCGCAAGAACGAAGGCCCACACCAGTCTGGTCCCTTGTGGTTACCGGAGATTAGGCGCCGGTAAGCAGGCATTCCCCATGAGTCGAAAATTGAAAGACGTCAAAGCCGTCTGTCTCCACTGGTCCGTCAGGAACCTTCCACAGTAAATGCCGTATTTCGCAGAGCGACCCGTAACTCGCCGGTCAAAGCAGCTTTCTCCAAGGCCCGCACTACGGGACAGGTGGACAGCGGACAACCATGCGCCACTACTCTCCTGCCTCCACGTTCAAGCGAGGTCCACGCGGGAAACTCAATCCGTCCATTTCGTGTTGACTGGGCTGGAAGCTGGAGTGGAACTAGGGCGGATTTTGTCGCTCCGTCAGACGGCCTCAAGAACTCCGTCCGTTCCACTGCTCACGCACGTGGACTTGCCGGCTTGTAAAGTCACTTGCTTGTACATGGAAATTAAGGGTGCGCCAAGTCGACAAAGACGGGCCTATATCTCTCATTACGAAAAACAGGAAAGCATCGTCTGCTCTCCGTCTGCTAATCATGGACGGAAGTTTGGAACCAGCCTTCAAGCAACAAAGCAGAGCCTAGGCTGATAGTGCACATTGAGTCTCCCGCAAGAGCCGTTTGTAACTCATGATATATGCACCATGATTGAAGACTTCAAATCTGTGAATGGCGCCCGCCATGCCTTGAAGCAGCCACCGGTATGGAATTAAAATCTAGTTTGTAACGTCTAATGTACCAACTGACCAGCGAACAGAAGAAACAACCAATGCCACTTATTTCCTTTGTATCTGGTGCAACTGCAGGAGGTGTCGAGTCCGTCATCACGGTTTGTTAAGGGATGTCCTTACCCTTGGAAGAGAAACACTAAAGCTTCCCCAGTATCCTTTTGAATATGCCAAAACCCATGCCCAGCTGAGAACCCATTATGGCCCCAAGAACCCTCTACTCATCATCCAACACCTGGTTCAGACGCGGGGAATAGCCTCAATCTATGCGGGCTGCAGTTCTCTTGCGGCGGGTACGATGCTCAAGGGAGGTGTTCGATTTTTCTTTTACGACAACATCAAACAAGCGCTCTCGTCGCCGTCGTTGGGTATGCCAATCTTTTTGCAGGGTATCATGGCTGGCATGGCGGCCGGTGCCGCCGAGAGCGTCATCGCGGTGACTCCAAGCGAGCGCATAAAAACGGTCCTCATTGATGATGCATCGAGTGGAACCAGGAAATTGGATGGAGGGTTGCAAGCCATGCGGGTTATTCTCCGTGAACAACAATTGAGAGGCTTGTATAAAGGCCTGGTGCCTACGACGGCCAAACAGTCCGCGACATCGGCTGTACGGATGGGAAGCTATAACGCTCTGAAAGAGCTCAGCCAGAGGTACGAAATCAACCAAAATTTCTTAACCACGTTCCTCATGGGCGCCGTCGCTGGGACAATCACTGTCTACACTACGCAACCTTTTGACTCGATCAAGACCCGCTCTCAGGGGTTGACAGGGATGGGCGCGGGAACCGCCCTCCGAAGCATCATCCAAGACTACGGAATCAAGGGCCTATGGAGTGGGAGCACCATGCGGCTGGGGCGCTTACTTCTTAGCGGTGGCATTGTATTCACGGTATACGAGAAAACTCAGGGTGTCATGGAGTTTCTGTTTACCTAATAGACCTGGGATATTATTGATATGAAGAATGTACTCGGCTGGCGCTCCTGAGAGATATACGCTAATAACGGAATTATATTGTCCGTTTGCTGATAAAAAAGTACGCAGTTGTCGTGCTCCCACGTACGAGTCATTTATGTGTATCTTCGTAGAGCGAGCTAATACCCGCGACGGCCTTCGTGAGAAAGCACACCGAGAGGGGACCAAAAGAAGGCCGTTTCGGAGCCGGCTCATGATGGTTCAATTCAATTGCGGGGAGCAATCAATTGCGTGAGCAACGGCATGCGATCAATGTGCATTCTTTCGTGTTTCGTCTATCAGGTGCTTAGCACGGCTACAGCGTCGTTCCATGGTAAATAAGTTTTCATTACATGGGCCATCGTTTAGTGTATATTTTCGAGGAAGAACAGAAGACAGCTTACGTCTCAAGCATAGTCATGCATTCAAAGAGTTCTCTTCAAAGAACACCATTAACCTAATTACTTGTGCTTTGTAGACTCCATTCCAGACCTCATCACTGCTACCACGTCATCTATTGTTGTGCCTCTTGACCTCTTGCCCGGCTGCTCCAGACCAAGCGCAGTGTCCTCAGCGACAACTCGGTAGACTTCCGCAATCCCATCAAAGCTAGTACAAACTGTCAGTGCGGTTCTAGAATCAACCGGTACCAGGAAAGGAAGGGAGAGGAAATAGCATACAGTCCTCGATCAAACCCGCCATCCTCTTCCATCATGACACCAATCTGTTGCATCTCATTCACCCAACGGTATGCTTTGGGCGGCATGCTGATGACACCCTTATCTGCAATTGCAAGGGTTTCCGCGTTGTACCTCTTCATGTAGTCACGTAGCTGTGGTAATATGCCAAGTGCCTCTGCCGTGACATAGGACTGGATGGCGAGTGCAAAGAACCCCTTAGTCGTACTACCGAAGCACATTTTAAGGCCTGATGCTGCGCCTAGGCGCTCAGACATGTGGTCGACGTTGAGTGTCTTGGCGAGATCCGCGTAAGGAAGCTTCGTTGGGCCAGAAACAATCAGGGATGGGCAGTTCCATCCCGAAAGTGAGTCGGCTTTCTGGTAGGGAACTCCGCCGATAATGCCGCCGTCTATAAGAACAATGTTCGGATTGTTTCGGAAGAGAGCGTGTATTTGAATGGCGAGCCCCGGTGATATGGCGTTGAGATCCAAATAATAAAGAGGACGTTCTCGTGCATTGGTGCCGCTGGGTGTTTCATTCAAAACACGTTGCGCAGTGGTCAGCGCATCTCGAGGGGGAACAATGGAAAGTAAACAAGCAGACAGCTTGACCAATTCACTGATAGACGGCAGAAGTTCTATGCCGTTGGATCGAGCCCTTTCTCGGGTTTGATCACTAAAAGCTCATTAAAGATTAGCTTCGCATTGGGATGACAACAAGTTTTATCTTTAGCATCGGCATCAACACCATAGTCCAATCCAACATTGATGAAAAAAGATGGTTCTGAGGTAGCGGCGTTGAGTGCATGCAAGTACTTGCCTTCTATCTTCCGCAAAGGTTGCGACTCTATATCCCTGACTGATGAGTAGCTTGCCGATGCCAAGACCCATGTCACCAATGGACAAGATACCAATTATGAGTACAGCTTGTTCGCCCATAGTTCCAACCTCTCAGCTTGACAGAAAAGTGGAGATGACTGAATTCTTGAAATTGCCCTTTTTATTGGGAAAGCCGACGTGGGGAAGACAAGTCATATAAATAGGTCGTCTTGTTTTTATTCATTTCTTTTTCTTTTCTGATCGTATTCCTAGCGGAACGAGGCGCGCAAAACCTACTATGTAGATCCAAAACAAGGGAAGGTCTCAATGGTCCTTTCGAAAGCATCGCGGGAAGTTTCCCAGCTCCTAGCCTTCAACATGGGGCCAACAGATGCTGTGTTATGCGGACGGAGTAGCTTGTGACGACACCTGAAAGAAGGCGGGACATCGCACTCCGTGTAACTCCACCGACGGAATCCCGACCTCGGAACATCTGGCGACCTCGCACTTTATTTGCGCCTGGACCGGAAAGTGGCAGACACATAGGGTGTTTATCTCCGGCGTATCCAGGTTCAGCCCTAGTTTTAGAGTAAACTTTAGCCAGCTCCTACGAGTTACGACGAGGGCCGTGGAGACGGCGAGAGGGTCTTTTCCGCTGATTGTGTCGTGGAGGATAATTAACTATGCCAGCAAGAAACGGCTTGGACAGGATGTAGGATATACAGTCTATTTCAAATTGGCTAGGATACCGACGGAAGCCTATCCGGAGACAAATATATTTTCGATCATCTCTTATTTGTGCCCTATTCTAGTCTTATTCTGTAGAGACCGCGTAGTGCTGCTGTTGTATATAATGAATACCCTCCTGTCTTTACTCAAAGATCCGCTGTGGGTTTGTGACGAATAGCTTTTGCCATATCTCATCATCCGGAATCCATTCACGGATCTTCTTAATGTGCGCTAGGTCGTCAACCTCGCGGAAACCCTCAATCTCATTGAGGCGCTGCTCATCCGTTTTGCCCTTGCGGGTAACGCCGAGCTGAGTGTGCGGCCAGTCGGTTCCGAAAACGATCTGGTCAGGACCCGCCTCGATGATGGCCTTGGCCGCCGTCGCGAGACTGTTGATTCCAGCGGGGTGACCATGGTATAGACGTTCGAAGCCGGAGATCTTGACAAAGAGTCGCTTCTCCTTGATGAGCGAGAGCAGTGTCTGAAAGTCTTCCGTTTTCTCGTCACCGGGGAACGTACTGCCGAAATGGTCCGCTACGATCTTGACTCGCGGATCTAACCCGCGGATCATGTCGGCCATGGCAGCCCACGCAGGCAGCGGGCAGAAAATTCCGATGACCCAGCCGAGACGGGCTAGACGGCTAGCTAAGGCCTTGACCTTCTTGGTGATTTGCTCGCCGCCTTTCTGCTCGCCGTGGCCCCATGCCATCTCATGCATACGAGCGCCACGAACGCCGGCGGCATGCAGGGCATCCAGCTCTGCATCGGTGATACTGTCAACATCAATAGTCGCCAGGCCACGCAGCTTGAAGCCAGGCATGCTAGACTGCCGGTTTAGAGTGTCCACCAAGGCTGCCGGCGACGACCCTTGCATGGAAGCGTGGACAACAACGAGGCCGGTGCAACCCGTCACCTCCATCGGATAGTCCACAACTGGGGCTTCCTTGGGCGTATACGATCGTGGTGTCGCATAGGGGAACTTCTCAGGATCGAAGACATGGATGTGGGTGTCCCATGCACCCTTTGGCAAAAGAGAGTTGATCGTAGACATAATTTCAACTTGGATGATAATGTGTGCTTAGACGGCCGGGTCTGAGGAGTTGATCCCGATAGGAAGGTTTGAGAAGTCAAAGATAAAATGAGGAAATGTTTGGCTGGCACCGAGAAGATGTTACTTGATTGGTGAGATGCGGCCTGTTGGTGAATTCGATGGGAAGATGCAAGCAAGGTCAACTCTTATAAAACGATTCGAAAGTATACATAGGCTGCTGATATAAGCCCCGGACGTTGTGAATACATGGCGGAGTTTGTGCTCCGTCTCTGGCGCGATGATGTCGAGACAACACGGACCTTGATTTCCCATGACGGACGTTCCCGAGCAGCTCATACATGGTTCCCCACTTCTCTCCACGATATCATCTTCCCCGGATTTTTGGATGAGCTTCTGTTCAAGTTCCACTCATGTTATTGCGGGGCCCCGGATTCCGTCTACTCTGAAGACCCCTATGATGAATTGCTTAGTGCTTTGGTAACAGCGAATAGTAAGGGAGCGACCGCATGTTGGTTCAGCATGGTAAGGGTTGATAGAATTTCACCTAACCATTGGTTTCAAGGAATTAACTTATATGTAGTAGCTGTCCTGGTCCTCCCCTCCACAGCGGTCGTCAACCCTCTTTCCCATCATTCTTTGAGTTGGCTCATCTTGGGTCAGTCTCCTTCGATCTAAGTAATTATCTTCCATCTTGGTTTTTTCTAGTCATCTCCAGATCAAGCTGTCCATCATGGGCTTCGCACAGGAGGTCGCCAACTTCCCGCGGGAGATTGGCAAGGCTTTTGCATTGAACAGAAAACAGGCCCTGGTGTTCCTGACTTGCTGGTGGTGCTGGACGCTGGGCTCCATGAATTTCTATCTCCTTCCCTACACACAGCCAGCAGTGGCTAAAACACTTGGGGTAGAAACATCCAAGATTGCCGAGGCCAACACAACCACTATGCTGTCTCGAGCCATCGGTGCAGCAATTTTTGGGGTGTTGTCTGACCAGTACGGACGTAAAATCCCTTTGGTAGTGGACCTTGTCCTAATGGGAGTCTTCACCCTCTCCTCTGGGTTTGTTCATACTTATGGACAGTTTGTGGCAGTACGTTTCCTCTTCGGTGAGTATGCCTTCGCTGCATTATATCACACTATAGGCTGTTAACCGCGCTTCTAGGTATTACCTATGGCGCTTTGTACGGTGTTAGCATGGCCGCGGTTCTCGAGGCTGTTCCTCGAGAAGCCCGAGGAGTTGTCGCCGGCTTTACGCAGCAGGGTTTTGGAGCGGGAAATATGATTGCATCCGGTCTTCATTTGGCGATGGGTAAGTCTGTCTTTTGATACTCTGCTTATGGCAAGACCAAATAAGTAACCCGTCCCCGAACGATTAGAGAGCTACGGATGGCGATCCCTCTATTACGTCGGTGCCGGTCTTACCCTTACCGCGGTTGGCCTGCGAATCATATGCCCCGACTACTCCGTAGTCACGGAGGCCATCCGGGAGAATGAGGACATTCTTCAGCCTACTCTGAGCCCCACGGGTGCTACATTGCCCTTCTGGGTCAAGTTTCGTTACGCCATCACGCATCACTGGCCGATATTCATCTACTGCACTGTGCTCACAGCGTGCTTCAACACGCTGGGCCATGGCCATATGGACGTTTATCCTTCCTTCCTTGAGACCCAGCGTGGACTCAGTATCCGCCATGAAACCTATGTCACCGTTATACTGCAATGCGGTGGTATTATAGGTGGCCTTGTGGGCGGGTATCTGGCTCGATACAGCCCCAAATGGGTTCCTTTCGGCTTTGCCATTGTCTTGGCTCCCTTGCTTCCAGCCCTTATCCTTCCAACGAAGTGGCAATATCTTGCAGTGGGATCCTTCTTTTTCGAATTCTGCTACGGCGCTGCCATTGGCACAGTCGGCAACATCTTGCAGATGGTCTGCCCTCACCCAGGTATTCGTGGTGCCTTTGGCGGTGTCACCTACAACCTTGGTAATGCCATCTCCTCCGTGGCTCCAACTATTGAGACAAGACTTGGCGATAATCTGCCCACGAAGTCTGGAATCCCGGATTATGGACGTATCATCCTCATCCTCGTTGGAATCGTAAGTGCCTCTATTCCCTCATACATAAGCGACGGAAATGCTGTCTGTTCTTGACTGGCTGGCTAACAGCCACTGCAACAGGCAATCGGTCTATTGTCGCTCACTCTGGCATGCATGCCTATCAAGAACGTCAACTTGGAATGGGATCAGGAGGATCCTAACCAGACAATTCCGGCTTATGAGGCACCAGCCAAGACAATTGAGCACAACCAGGGTCATATTGAGCGGGCACACGATATTGAGACAGGAGCCATATTGAAAAGAGATGAACAAGCGGGTGTGGAGTATATGGAGATGAGCCCTACCCAAAAGTGATGACCATTGATTCCCTGTGCTTGCTTAATGAGTAAACGAGGCCAACACTGCACTATGTTTGGGCTTGGTGGGCTTCTGGCGAGTCAGGCAATCAAGTTGATGAAGACCGGAGGGTACCTATCCTGGTTGGTTTCCAATATTCTTCCGTTTCTTAAAAGCGGGAACGAAGTGGTCAATACAGCAAATACAATAGTGGTCCCCTTTATAGTTAGTGGCTACCAATATAAAGACTATCATATTTTCCCTTTCAACCACCAGTCTCCGCGTAATAAAAAATGGGTACCGCGATCACAAATTGCGACACTTTACGAGAAGGATCTCTTGGGATATTCGAAACGCGTCTCGTAAGGGGACGAAGACCAGGGTTAAGTGCCTGATCATTACTGTGAAGTCTCTCTACTTGATGATAATACCTACTAGAAAAACCACCAAAGGGCAAAAATAAGAGAGTATGCAAAGTATAACTCAGAGTACTAATTCCCGGCGTTTAAGATGACATATGCCTGCTTCTCTTCGTAATTAAGGCAATCTGGTCTAGGGTTAGGGGCTGGCTTGTGACGGAGACAAGGGACTGAGTATAGTGTGGAGATCCAAACGGCATCATTTGTTTGGCAGTAAAGATTGAAGTATGTACATTCTGGTGCAGTAATGGAAGCTTTTTGCATATATCCGTCCGCCTAGGTATATCTGTTATAGGTCGACTGCCCAACTCTAGACCTGGACGTTGCAAATTAGCTTCCCAGCGTGGGTATTTGACTCCATCTTCTTGTGGGCATTCCCAATCTCTGTCCAAGAGAAGACTTCATCCACGGTGACCTTCATCTCGCCCCTGGCGAAATGTGGGAGTGCCTTCTCGATTACAACATCCCGCAGCTGCTTCTGGTAGTCAGACTGGCGTGTACGAAGTGTCGTTGTCATGACCCAAAGCCGCTTGTTCATCAGGTCTCGCAAGCTGAACTTCTCAATAATGGCGCCACTCATCGTCGCAACTATAACAATGCGGCCCTCCATCGCAGCCGCCGCCGTGGTGCGGTGCCAGTATGACTGGCCCACCAAGTCTATGATCAGGTTGACGCCTTTGCCCCCGGTCTCGCAGCGAATTACCTCGGCAAAATCATTGTCGCCGCAAGTCCGGTAGTTAATGGCGAAGTCAGCGCCAAGGGATTTGCACAAGTTGCACTTGGAGTCGCTGCCAGCTGTCACAAAGATCTTACTGGCGCCGCCGCAGCGGGCCATTTGGATGGCGGCTTGGCCGACTCCCGAAGAGCCGGCGTGGATAAGAACTGATTGACCGGGTTGCAAGCCACCAATGAGGTGAATTGCTTGGACGGCAGTGAAGTATGTCTGCGCAGTGTTAGTTTGCTCCCAACTTTACAGGAACTACCCCAGAGGATTAAGGGAAATGAACTAACTTCAGGGAAGCCAGCGGCCGTCTCGAAGCTCATGCCCTCGGGCATATGCATGAGCATATTTTCCGACACGGAGATCTTCTCAGCGTACTGTACATGAGGAAGAACATTAGCGCTGCTGCTGGCATCATTGACATGTAGGGTCGTTGATTAGCCACTCACGGCACCTCCATAAGCAAGGCCAAAGCACTTTTGTCCAATTTGGAAATCCGACTGGCCTGGTAAATGTTAGTGTACCGAGGAAGCAAAATATGCCTCGAGACAATGAGAGAGAGGCATACATTCTGCGCCCTTTGCCTCAACGATACCGCTGAACTCCACGCCCAGGATCTTGCCAGACTCAGGCAGCAGTGGATAGGGATAACGATCCTCTCGCTGCATAATATCCATGCGATTTAGACCGAAAGAATGTATCCGTACCAAAATACAATTACCGTTGGCCACCGGATCCGGCACATCGTCCTCGATGAAGAAGTCGTCGGCATTTCCTCTGCCGCCCTTAATTCCAACTGCCTTCATGGTTCCTGGTCAAAGGCTGGAGGCTTTTGTTGTTCTTCACTTGAAGAAAGTTTGAGTACAAATGCAGTTTTGTTTGGACAAAAGTTTGATCACTGTATAGCAGATAAATAATAGTGCGAAAGCTCTTTAAGAAACTGGCTTGGAGATTTGATCTGAGTAAGAAAGTTACAGTGCTAATTTGTACTGTCGATGGTCCGGCGGTGCCTTATCGACCGTTGCTTACTTGCCGAAGGACTCGTCGGAAGGCATGGTTTGAACGGACAGCCACGGACCGGCTCACTGCGCGCGGGGAACATGTGCGGCGACTAGCTGGTGCGGCACATTCCCTCATTACCGCCTCACATTTTGTTTGGAAAGGAAGCGGACAATCCACTCCGCAAAATAGCCAACCCCAGGCGGAGCGCCACATTCCGTCCTTTGGGGTTAGACGGCGAATGATGCATGATTGGGTATACAGAACGACGAACATGGTGAAAGGGATCCATCACGGATCTCGCGGGAGTCTCATTGGAATACTAGCACCCGCTAAGTACGGAATGCGCAGTGGAGGTGCACCCGATACACTGAGAATCCATTTTCCGTCTCTCCATCACGAGTTGCTCCGTGATCGATCTAATTCACGGGGAATAGGCCTGTCTGAGAGGCAAATTATTTCTGGGATAAATGAAGCTCTTTTCAAGACACACCGTAGCCATTCTGAGGTTGCGTCAACTACAACTTGTGCTTTGTCAAAATCGCTTCTATCAAGTAAAAATACCTAGCCTTCATCGGACTTCACGCTTCTTCATCGCCTGCTGCACAATAAGGCCCATCATGTCGTCCACCACCGGTACAGAGACATCAATGCACCAGCCCTCACAAGCCAAGCTGGCCACCAAGGAGAAAGAAGTGCCTGCTAGGGTCCCTTTGGCTGCGTCTTCCTCGTGGACGGAAGATGTGCATTTCTTGGGCGATAAGGACGGCAAGGTCAAGCTGCGTTGCCCACCAACCTTCGACAACATCAACGACACTCGCACATACCTGAAGCAGCACTTAGCGGCCGCTTTCCGAGTCTTTGCTAGGCAGGGTTTCGATGAGGGTGTTGCAGGCCACATCTCTCTGCGCGACCCTGGCAACCCAGAACACTTCTGGATTAACCCTCTCTCTATGCATTTCTCCCAGATCCGCGTCAGTGACCTGGTCCTCGTCAGTGAGAACGGCGAGGTCCTTCCAGAGGGAGCGCAGAGCGCCATCAATGGCCCAGCCTTCGCCATCCACAGTGCCATCCACCGCGCGCGGCCGGACCTCAATGCAGCGTGCCATGCCCACAGTGTCTACGGCAAGGCTTTCAGCTGCTTCGGCCGTCAGATCGAGATGCTGTACCAGGATGCGCTGCGCTTTTACAACGACTTGGCTGTGTATCCTCGCTACGGCGGCACTGTCCTCACGGCTGAGGAGGGCGACCGTATCGCCAAAGCGCTGGGACCGACCTGCCGCAGCGTTATCCTACAGAATCATGGCATGATTACGTGTGGCCAGACAGTCGACGAGGCGGCCTTCCTGTTCATTGCGCTGGACCGATGTTGCCACGCGCAGATGCTTGCTAACGCTGCCGTATGCCCTGGGTTTGAAAAACACTACATCGCCAAAGAGCAGGCAGAATTCGCGCACAAAAAGAGCGGCAACTCGAATAAGATGTGGTTAGCCTTCCAGCCATACTATGACCAGGTGGTCAAGGATGACCCCGAGTTGCTGCAGTAGCCAAATGGGCGGGGTTTTACGAAAAGAAGTCCATGGGACAAGTGAATGGTCAAAAATGAGTGTGACATTGAGAACAGGAAACATCCATGTCCTACGGCTTTTGTTTAAACGGGAGTTGACTGGGCTACTTGCACAATTCCATCATTGATCATATACATGGTGGGCCAATTGCTACATCCAACCGTTAAACTTAGTTAATCACTACATTGCATCATGGACGACGTATTGCACACGATGCATTTTGCATCCGTAAGCACAACTCTTTAGAAACTGGTATCATCCACACCGAATGTCGCAAAAGACATGTTTTCGTTCATAAACCCAAACAGCAAGTCTTGACCAGGGATACACATATCCTGGAAAGGTTGCATCTGTGCAAGATTATCATATGTTGGCGACGCGTTAGAAAACTGCCAAATATTGTCGAACGTTTGATCAGGAGCCGAGGCCTGAAACTCTACGGGCGCTAGGACGTACCGTCAGTATCAGGTACTTGATCTACAGCAACAAGAAAAGAGACAAGAAATGAAAGCAGAAGCAACCATGGAAGGGAGGCTCACTTGGTGATTCTTGAACGCCCTTGGCGGCCATGAGCTTGCGAATAATACGCGCTGTGTCCGCAACTCCCGAGTTCGGTACGGCTAGCTCGTCCAGACACCTCAGGCTTGCACCAAGTAACAATAACGACTCAGCATATGCGTTGCTGTCGCTGCCAGTGGAGAGCGATGCAGCATTGAGCACGTGGATCGTGCAAGCTACGTAAACAGCATAACTGAGCAAGTAGCTAGACTTCCGCAACGGGTAGATGGATTGATAGCTTAGGGCGAGACTGGTGATATGTCGTGCCGCCGTGGTACACCGTTTCCACGAGAAAGCCGACGTCTTTATGGTGTTATCAGCGCCGCTCCCGTTGCTGGCGCCGCTCTTGGGCGTTGCGATAAAAGGTCGATGCAACAAAACAACAAGTGAGTGATATGTCGTCAGAAGAATGATGCGATTTGGCGCTACTACGACGGGTGGATCCATGACATCCTTCGTCCACGGCTCGTACGCTAGGTGCGCTGGGAGGTCACGATACCAGGCTGTGAGGAGATCATCGAGAGGGCCGATCTCATTCAATGTCTTCCGAGCGGTGGCTCCGACGAAATAAATCTTGTTCACGATTCGGCTCATTATTTCAGACAGTAGACAGAGCTGCTGGAAGACAGTCACTGAATACGCCGACGGTGCGGCCGAAGAGGTCACCTTGCGGCTCGCAGCGGGTGTCATAGGGTCATCATAGGGCTGCCACGGCTCCAGCTCTTCGAAAGTATCCATGAAGTCCTGCGACACATGGGCATCCCCGAGACTGATCGTGGGAGGTCGCCCAAGATACAGGCTTTGGAGCTTCTCGCAGATGAAAGCGCCCCAAAACACACGCCGCCTGATCTCGACCTCCTCAGCATTGTGGTTGTTAACCTGCTGCAAATCCACGTGCAGCCCCAGATCGTACACCATCCGCAGGGCATAGCCGGTATACAACCAGCCCTTGGAAGTCATGCCTCTGGCGATAAACGTCGACCCGAGCATGATCAACGCGATGACAGTAGGTATTTGTGACTGAATGAGCAAGCCCTCGCGCAGTAATAGCTCGTCACAGCGAGTGAAAAAGCGCTGCCCCGCTGTTTCCGGGTCCGTCGGGTCATCACGCACCTCGAGCCGCTCCGAGAATTTGGATGAACATGCGAAGACAGCGTACAGCAAGAGGTCAGAGCAGTACGACCCACCATTTACCAGCTCTCGCATGAAGGCCGGTCGGTACGTCAGCAGGAAAGTATGATGCTGCCGGCTCCAGTGGAGATCGAGGAGATGGAACGCCAGCTCCGCTGGTATTCCCCGTATGGAGGTCAAACAACGCAGTCGGTGCTCCCGCTGCCTCTCCGTTGCGGCATTGGCGATCAACTGATACCGCAGCAGCTCTGACGATGCTGCTGGTTGTTCGTGACTAGGGGTATCGAGACCTATCACTCGTATCGGGCTGCTGAGGCGGATAACAGAGGTTGAGCTGAAAATGCTATCTCTGGCTGGGTGGCTTCTATTTGTCAATTTGGGCTCGCCCATAGCACCGGCACCTTCTTCCTCGCTGGAAGACATGGCAACATCGTTAGCATGTTCCATGTCCTGACCGTCATTGTCGTGATTGTTATCGTTAATTTCGCCGTTTGTGTCCTCGGCGATAGCCTCCCTTGTTCTTGGAGCAGGCTGCGCACATCCAGGATCGCTCAGCAGTTGAATTTGCATCTGCTGTCGTCGTTGATTAACGGAGGCAGGATAACGCCCCTGAGATGATGATGTTGTCGATATGGTTCCTGGATCTGACAGTGATACCCTGCCGTCCTGCACCGTCACGGACTGAAGCAGAACATGCCTTTGGGCATCGTCTGCGCTTTTCAGACGGCCTAGCGCATCTTCTAATGCTGCTTTTTCGCCCTTGAGGGAGTCAATGAGGGCTGCAGAAGGACGTTGCTTCTGCACGCCGTGGCGATAGACGCACGACCTATTGCTCTTGCGGCATGTGGTGCAGGTAGGCTTGATGGTATCACATCTGATCTTGCGCCTGCGGCAGAACTCGCATGCCCGGACCATGTTGGGTAGGTCAATCCTCAGCTCGTTGGTCAACCACGACTAGTAAAGGTAAGTCTTGAGACTTCCTGAACGAACTGCTGAAGGAAAGGTACGCTGAGGGGTCCTTTTGCTCGTACATGCGATTAATAATATGTTGTATTGCGACAGTGTATATGTGGAAGCTACAAGCAATGAACTCCTTTGCGGAAGGTGCCTGAAGAATTGACTCGGAGGCCCTCCGTTTCCCCGCACTGTGAGCCCTTGCCATCGATACCTTGATGTATAACAGGTTGATCACTTTTGTGTTCCTTTTCTTCTTTCAAGAAATTACAATCCTTAATTATTGCTGAAACATAGACCAGAGGTTGGGTGTCGATGGTGGATGGCGGATGACTGTATCATTACTACGACGTCTACCGGTTCAAGGGGAACTCAATCCACCCATTACGAGTTAACTGGGTTAAACTTTGGCGGAGTTTGTCACTCCGTCAGACGGCCACAAGAACTCCGTCCGCAGCACTTGCCGGCAATCCACCACCTGGAAGCCATTTAGAATCTTCTGTGTTTAATTCAAATTGGTTTCCGTCTAAACACTTGTACACGAAAATAAAGCCCTTTTTTAAGAGACCTAGTGCCTCACAAGTAGTGTGACCTGTCATCAGGGCTATACGACTTTGGTCTAATCAGGCATGACGCTTCTGCTTACCGCACTTTCTCAAGCACTCCTCAACCTTGATCACCACCTCCCCCGGAATAGCACGCCTCACTTTATCGATATCCTCCCCGGCAATGCTTTGCCCAAACGTGGCAGCAATAACGTCATCGCTCAGAGAGAATACCTGCTCTGCGACCAAGCCAATGCCGAAGTCCTCCGACGAGAGGGCTGCCGTGAAATTGGCTGGTCCACAATCCGGGTTCACCTGTGTGTGGAACGAACCGGCCGGAAAGATTGTCATCATGCCGGGACCCAGTTCGGTGTGGATAACTCGTTGTTTACCTTTAGAGTCAAGCACGCCTACTTCAGGCACCATCTGGGTGAGCACGCGACCAGAATTAAGCACGAAGAGCTCTGTGGCACGAGGGTGGAGGTGGAGGTAGGCCATGCTGCATGCTATTGAGACGATTAGTGCGAGGCAAATTCGAGGCATTTTCTTGGTAACGTACCTGGCAATTGACCGACACTGAAGGATGTTCCAGAGCCAACCAAAGCGGGAAATGTCTTCCGGTTGGCAAACGGGGTCTTGCTCTTGGTGAAATCGTATACAAAATCTTCATCCGTCGGGAGGAGCTGGTAACGGCCGATGGCACTAAACAATTAGATTGGTCTGCTTGTGTAATCCAGCCCATGCCACGGAACTTACGTATCTGCAATTTGTAGCTGAGCAGTTAAGCTGAGCTCGGGCGTTGAGCGCCTCATCATTTGCTGAGGTGCTGCCTTCGCAGGAAGGGCAAAGACAAGAACAACAGCAAGAACAGAGCTAAGGGCGGATCCTGCGAGCATGATGACTATTGATATATCAAGATAGGTATCGATTGGTTTGCAAAGAGAAGACAAGTTAGGAAAGTGTTGCTTAGCTGTTAAGAAACGTTTGATGATGAACGATCAAGAAGGGAGCGGACTAGAGCCTTTTTATACCTAGATTGCTGTAACCCAGCACATCACAGTCGAAGTGAAATACCATGGTTAATTCCAACTACTCTTCAGCTGGACTGAATTGCTGCGCCTCACGTATCTCTAGAGATGAATAGAGGTTCAATCAACTCAAACTAAGCAGTGTCGGCAAGTATAAAGAAGGTATGTCGTATTGGGCGCCTTGGCTCGAGCGTATTAATAATACGACTTCTATCTAAACCAAACTAGTTAGGTGGTCAGCTTACATTTTTAGCCTTGCGTATCCGATCCGCCATCCGCTCCGAGCGTATTCCCCCCCCACATTGGACCCTGCATATCGTGTTTATCACGATCAATCAATGCCCACGGACTATGAATGGCAGAAATCACATATGTTTCAGCATATTTCGAGCCTATGGCTCTGGGAAAAGAATATATAGATCTCATGAATCGGGATCAGTGATCGAGGATACATACAGCACCAAGAATAAAACCAGAAACGGGCACTATCCGATCCTCACAATATACACAAGGCAATGGTATATCTTTATATCAATTTGATCCAGTCAGTGTATGACCGAGGCTGGGTCAAAATCTCGCACTTCTAGATATTGGGAGTAAGCTCCAGCTTTACACGATGCATAGTTTCTGGCCACCAAGTCTCTCTAGTATCCATTGACCGGTGAAGCGAGCCCTGAGTTTTCATCAAAGCAATAACTTGCCCCAGCTCCCACTGTCCAATACTGCCAATCCACCACACGCCATCTAATAGCATGACAAGCACCAGCCAATGGGCAAAGATGTCCATAGCTAATAGGCGCGTCAAACCAAGTAAAGGGACATCGGTGCCCGGCGAGTCGGGCGTCATCATATCCGCAGCGCCAACGTCTGCGAATGTCGAATCGAGCATTGACTGGACAAGGCTGAGAAACTTGGCCGGCGCTTTGTTTAAAAAAGACATTATGATCCGTCGTAGTGCTTTCGGCGATGTCATTGAAGTGACACTGACCATGTATTCTCCAATCCAGGGCGAGACTTTTTGAATGTGCTCTAATAGAAAGGGCTCAGATTTGGCACCATCATGCTTCTTATCAGTCTTCTTTGTAGACAGAGCTTCCAATGCACATGTTTCAAGGATAGACAAAGTTTCCAAGCAAGCGTCGAGCAATAGATGCCCGCAAGGGGAATCTTCTAGTCTTTCAAAAGAAGCCACTGTAGACTCGACTTTTCCGCGTAGGGATTCGAGGGCTTTAGTATATGTACTGATGACCAGGGGAAGAAATAGGCGCTTCGTGCTTTCAGACGGGCCGTCCTGTGGCGACAAGACAATTGTGCGATTTGAAACCGGGCTCGGCAATCTTGGTGTGTGGATCGTCGGGCTTGGTGTGTCTGTATTTGTCTGACTACTGGTCATACTATCGACTATGCCATCGAGTATTGCGGTGGATGCCATATGAGCTGCGCGAGTAAATGAGATCCACTGTGAGTGCTGTGGAAGCACTTCATTCGGCAATTCCTGGCCACTTCGCTTCGCTGTGATAGCCAAATGTACTCTGATAGAGTGACTGGCAGAAGCATACAGAACCATAAGTGCCGCATTTGTGAGAATGTTGTCATAACAATCTGAATATGACATAGCTACTTGAATGTGTTGAAGAGAGCTCCTGTGATGGCGATCAGCAAGCATAAGTAGCTCCCGGAACTTCATTACGGTATGCTCGTCCAGTGACGTATTGGGCGTGACTAGATCATGACATTTGCATGCTGCTGCCAAGGCTATCAGGGACGACATGACAGGCCTGCTCCTGAAAGCGATATTTGGCATTCCCACGGAAAGTGCGTGGTGATCAAGATCGTCGAAAGGTATAGTCCGACTAGTGTGCGTGAGATAGTGACTCAAGAGGTCAAGTTCCGTCGCGTCGAGATTACTGGGGAAGTCCGAATTCAACAATAGTGTTTCAGAGTTTATAATGGTACTCGGAGAAGGAAACAGAGAAGTTGGAGAGCCACGCGGCGAAGGGCCAGAAACTGAGAGGTGATCGCCCGGAAATGCAGATCGAGGGCCCTGGTATTCACAATTGTACATGCGCTTGGCACATCTGGAGCAGTTCGGTCTCAACTCGTCGCACTAGAGATATGATCAAAATATGTTGGACAGATTTGTGCTAAAAGAGATCTACCTTCTTTCGCCGTTGCTTACATCTAAGACAGCCGTTCCTCGATTTCGCGTGTGTTCTTCGAAGCTTATAATTTGTCAAGTTACCATTCATATTGTCGGTCGCGGAGTAGATCTCGGAACCAAATGCGATCACGCAGAAAGGATTGCGCCGATTAGTTAGAGGCTTTAGAGGATGCTCTGAGGCCTTTAATTTACGCGTTCTTTCACAGTCATCTCTACTTGGGGCTTAGATGAGGCTGAGACGCCTAAGACCCCACTTCGGGCTGATCATTTGGAATACCAAGAGCTCCCTCTATATGATTCACCAGCCCAGAAGACACTCGACTTGTTCCTGTTTGTTTCCCATCCAAACAATCACCGAGGTGCAGCTTGGTTGTGCCGCTATACGAGGCCCCCCCACATTTCACCCGAGCTGCCAAGGAGCTATTGTCGCCGCTTAAGATCTTCACGAGCACATTGTAACGTTAGGGCGCTATTTTGGGATTCCCGCCTGGCCATGGTCGTTTGCCAAGCCTCGTATTGCCGATGATCCCCATCTAAATGCGACATATTACTACATTGGGTACATAGAAAGGGATGTGACATTGCTAGAGGCTCGTAATAGCAAAGAGATTGTCGCTCGCTTCACTTAGTCCCAGACGTCGCCGCGGCTGTGTATTTAATGTTCGGAATCCGCTCATTTAAAAGAATCGATATTCATTATTCAAGCATACACAAAACACACATGCAAAATGCGCTACTCTTCACTTTTTCAGTTGACTGCTGCTCTCATTTCTTTTTCTTTGCCCGCCTTTGCAGCAGACTCTCGCTACTGCATGAATAAAAATGTCATCGACGCGAAGGATTTCACTCTCCAAGAATCCGCTGACAACTCTCATCTGGCCGCACTCGCTAAGCACTTCGAAGGCGCGGGAAAGAATGTCAGCGTCTCGGCTGTCCTAAACTCCGCCAACCGTGCTCTAAACAAAGGATCCCCTCCAGTTGGTAGCGGATCTCCGTCAGAGGCATGGGCCTGGAACTCAGGGGACTACAAGACTACCAAGTGGACGCCGCAGGGGATTACCAGTTCCGCCGATGCACTCGGCAAAGGTGACTGGAATGACCATGAGGCGTGGATCGTGAGCTGGTACCAGACTGGAGACAGCGTGCGCGTCAGCTTTGTTGATCGCAAGACACACAAATACCGCCATGTCCTTCTTGTCTACCCGAGCGCCGACGATGACTTCAAGTCTATTGCCATCCATGCTGGAGGGATTATGTGGTACGGCAATTTGTTGTACGTTGTCGATACCAATAACGGCATCCGCGCTTTCAATCTTGACAATATCTGGGAAGTTGAGATTGCGGATGGTGTCGGGAAGATGGACAATGGAAAGGGATATTCTGCGGATGGATATCAATATGTTCTTCCCCAAGTCCGGTGAGTAGGATTAATGTTGGAGGCTTTGAGCAAGATTTCTAACAAACGGGTATAGCTGGTATAAATGGACCCCTGGAGCGGACTCTCCCTTCCGCTTCTCTTGGATTTCCCTCGACCGCAGCGACTCGCCCGATACTCTCCTGGTCGGCGAATTCGTCCGCGATGGCGAAGTCGACAAGAACAAGGATCCTGTTCCTATCCGATTGGTCAAGTACGAGTTGGACTCGACGACCCGCCGACTGCGCACCAACGCTAAGGGCCTGGCTACTGCCAGCTGGGCTCATTGCGTCGATATTCTTAAGATGCAGGGCGGTGTCTCTTATGATGGGAAGTTCTATCTCTCACGCAGCAATGGTCGTGACCCTAAGGCTGGCGACCTGTTCACCTGGGAGGAGGGCAAGACGGCAAAAGAATATCCTGGTTGGTTCATGGCCGGCAATGAGGATCTGAGCTACAACCCGGTGAGAAAGGAATACTACACAGTCACAGAGTATGACGGCGGGCGCTATATCCTGTCCTACAAGGCATAAGCAGACTCGTTCAGTAGGAGATCGTTTATGGAATAGCGATATGGATGTATTTTTATCAATTACTTGCTTTAATTGCTGTCCGCCTACAATTGACAACATACCTCGAAACTCTTTAAAATGCATAGATTCTCCGCTTATTAGATATGCAGGTAAAGTCCATTGGCAGCTGCCTCGGACAAGCTGGTCTTAACGGGTTTTGGCAACGCCTAGTCACGGCATCTAATAAACTTATACTGTGTATCAGCTGAGAGGTCAGTGCGATAGTTGTGCGACTCGGGTAATTCTCACCCGCATTCTCACCCTGTCTGTTGCCCATCACCCTTCTCACCTGCTTTTTACCCGGGCGATACTCATCCGACTACTGGCTGCGCATAGGCCACACACCGCTAAGAAGTTTGGTCTGATCTATACAGCCTTATGTAAGTCAATGTTCTATTTCATTCCCTTAGATATAATATTTAGTACATACGACCACAGGGTGTGGAGAACAGGGCTTCCCGTCCGCTCAGCCGTACTTAAGCCACACGCCGGTAAGTTAGTAGTTAGGTGGGTGACCACTAGCGAATCCTTACTGTTGTATGTTTTATGCTTTGCTTTTTGCATATCTATCGTATAATCTACCGTGGCATTGATTTCGTTTCGTAGCACACCAACGATGACTACATCTTGAAGTGTATAAAGGCCAAGCGTTTTGTCAAAGTCTGGCGTTATTGATGTTTTTAGTTGACCTGGATAAAGGGTATCAAACTATATCTATTAAGGCAACCTAGATTCCTACCCAAGCAAGTAAACTAGAGACCTAGATTTTGTTTGTCTGCAAACGGATCTTTTGAATCCCAGTGCGCCTCAGCTTGCAAAGGAGACGGCGGCGGACCAATTCAACAAAAGTGGAGATCTAATGGGAATAATCGGCTGTGATATCACGAATTGCCTACAGTGCCCCCGCTACAGTTACTGGCGAAAATAGCTTCCCACCATAGACAAGCACTTTTTTCCCCCGGGCCCATTGCCAAGATGCTAGTGCTATTTTTTATTCACCACAGATTAACATACTAGTGCCTTTTCAAGGTATTACTTGGTATTTGACCCTAGACATCCGGTTATCCTTCTTACAACATAGCCCACCTCACAGCCTGAGAGAACCCTCTGCGCCCCGGGCTACCATGCACAGGTGCATATTCTAAATCTCATTTCAGGTCACATGTCCCTCTCGAATAAGTCCTGAGATTCTCGGTTGAAAATCAGGGATCAACGAAGCGGGAATTGTTTTGGGTCTATTTGGGCGCGAAGATTGGGCGAAAGACGCGAGTGTGTGAGGGGCCTCAAGATCTAACAGACGGTGTTACACTACATTAGGGATAGTGCGATCGATGAACTCCGCAGACTGCAATGGGATTTCAAAGTCACTGGCCCGTCCGAGTGACGCGAGCTTCCCAGTCATAGCAATTATTAGGTGCACTCTGGGGGTCGCTCGTCGGTTTATGGTGGCTTAACCCCACAGCCAATAGCAGCTTGTCTCTTGCCGCCCCCACTACTGTCCTTATTGTTTACCAAGAGGCTGAGCTTTGGGGGCCGAGAGGGGTTCTTTTCTTCTCTCTTACGACATGACACTCTGCTCAACCCCCTACTGCTGACATTTGGCATTCCAAAACTTACTGCTTTATACCAAGCTAAATTCTATCCAGAATGGACGGGGTCCTGAAAATGCCGTGTCCCCCACGAGAAAAGTTCCAGATCGGTTGGATATGCGCCCTACCAATAGAGGTTGCCGCAGCTAAGGAGATGCTGGATGAAGGTTTTGGCATTCTTGATGTGCAAGATCCAAGCGACTCAAACACCTATATATTAGGTCGAATTGGTAAGCACTACGTCGTGATCGCCTGCCTCCCGGGCGGTCAATATGGAACTACGTCAGCCACAACTGTCGCAAACAATATGATTCGCACATTTTCGAAATCTCTCCGGATTGGGTTGATGGTTGGAGTTGGTGGTGGAATTCCGTCAGCCGCTCATGACATCCGGCTTGGGGATGTTGTGATTAGCTACCCAGAGAATACCTGCGGAGGCGTGATTCAATATGATATGGGGAAGGTCGTGGCCGGAGGAGAATTTCGCCGCACTAGCTCTTTGAACAGCCCTCCTAGGGCCCTTCTTACAGCCGTTAACTTAATAAGGGCCGCTGAGCTAACGGATGATCCTCACTACCCCGAGTATCTTCTCAATGCGATCGGCAGAAACGCACGCACTCGGAAAAGTTTCGACCGACCACAACAGGACCGACTATTCAAATTAGAACACTGTCATCCTACGACTGCGAGTACGTGTGATGGGTGCCCTATAGAATGGGAAGAGATACGCAGTGAACGCGAGACTAGTGATCCACAACCGCACTACGGCATCATCGCATCTGGAAATGCAGTTATTAAGGATGGATCTACACGCGAGCAGCTTAGACAGGACACTGGGGCATTGTGCTTTGAGATGGAGGCAGCTGGCTTGATGATGGACTTCCCTTGTATTGTCATCCGCGGTGTTTGTGATTACGCCGATACGCATAAGAACAAACAGTGGCAAGGATATGCGGCCTTGGTAGCGGCATCGTACGCTAAAGACCTGCTAGGGTATCTTCCGACGGGCTCTGTGTCGCAAGAGAGCTTAGTGGTAGATATCTGCGGTGTGTACAATCTATAACTAGTTCATGTTAAACATATTACTAAGACAGCACTACGCAGGGGCGCTAAAGGAAGAAATGAAAGGCATCAATCAACAGCTACACCATGTCTATGATCGACAACAAGAGTATCATAATGAAATCCAAAAAAGGTCTCTCACAGATAAGCAACAGCGTTGTCACCAAGTTTTCAAAGTCGCGAATTACGAGGAGCAGAAAAACATCAATCCAAGACGAGTAGAAGGAACTTGTCAATGGGTTTTTAAGAGCGAGAAATATCTCCGTTGGTTAGAGAGCTATTGCGATGATCTTCTCTTGGTGTCAGCTGATCCAGGCTGCGGAAAGTCTGTACTAGCCAGATCGATCATCGACGACCACTTGCAAACTTCTAGTCCAGGAGTGACAGTATGTTTCTTTTTCTTCAAAGACAACCACGAACAGAGCCGTCTCGACACAGCACTATGTTCGATACTACATCAGCTCTTCAGCCAGCGGCCTGACCTATTATATCATGCTTTACCGTCCTGGGAGAAGAACGGAGAGAAGCTCCGACATGAGGTGGAGGAGCTTTGGCGCGTCTTTATCACGGCCGTATCAGCTAACGCATCACACAAGACGATTTGTATATTCGATGCGCTTGACGAATGCCGTGAAACGGATCAGGGCCGATTAATTGAGAAGCTTCAACTCTTTTATCGCGAGCCATCTTTATCACCGATAGATACTTTTCTGAAATTCCTAGTCACCAGTCGTCCCTACGACTATATACAGGATCGTTTTCAAGAAATGACCAATTTTCTCCTACATATACACCTTCAGGGGGAGGAAGAAAATGAGCGAATTCATGAGGAGATTGACCTGGTCGTGAAAATTCGGGTGAGAGAGCTAGCTGAAACAATACCACTGTCACCGGATATTCATCAGCGACTTGAATATCAGCTTCTTCAAATGGAACACCGTACGTATCTCTGGCTACACCTAGCCATTAACGACATCCGCAAAACTTTCAAGTATAGCTTTCGACATAAAGAAGAAAAAATTCCACTCATACCTCCTTCCGTGGATGCGGCATATGAAAAGATCCTTAGTCGAGTTCCTTCTGGCAAAGTGGATATGGTGAAAAAGATATTCCGACTCATTGTCGGTGCACGGCGTCCTCTAACAACATGGGAAATGGCAATGGCGTTAGGTATTGCCACTTGTCCGCAAGCACGAACTACAGCACAGGCTAGCCTAGATCCACTTCTGTTGGATAAGAACCTTCGACATTTATGTGGCCTCTTTATCTTTATCAATAATTCGAAGATCTACCTCATCCATCAGACAGCGAAAGAATTCCTCATCACAAGGGAGAGCGAGCCGCCACAGCACATTGGATGGCGAAAATCCTTGAATCTCCATGAGGCTCACCAAATCTTTTCAAAAATATGCGTGACCTACCTAGATCTCAACATTGTCCAGGGAAACTACGATCATCTATCTAAGGACAAACTAGCCTTTGTGAAGAGCAATGTGCTGCTAGAATATTCTGCAACTTTTTGGATTGAACATGTGCGAAAGGCAAGAAGCTTGGCGATTGAGATCCTCCATATGGCGGCAAACTTGTGTGAAAGGAAACAGCTATATAAGTGGGCTCGTTTTGTGGAAACGCAATATTCGCACTTGTGCAGCCTGTTTACTCATGAGAAACAGCCAATCTTTTGGGCAACGAGGTGGGGATTGGAACATGTTGCGGGTGTGCTTTTAAGGGATCCAGAGATCAATATCACCAACGTCTTGCACGAAGCCGCAGCAGATCAACTCATAGGAGACACAGTCATATGTCTCCTACTTGACCAAAGAGGAGATGAAGTTATTATCACTGATGATGTAATTCAAAAATCCGTTGAGAACAAAGCAAGGGGGCTTCCAACTTCTCCTAGCTCGAAGAGGGCACGAAATCAGGATCACCGAGAAGATATTGCAAAAAGCTGCAGAAAATACAGGGAGCGGGTTCTCTATCATTAAACTTCTTCTGGATCAAAAAGGAAACGCCATCAAGATCACGAGTACGGTGATGAAATCAGCCGCAGGGAACACATGGGATGGTTCAGACATCATCGAATACCTCCTAGATCGAGGAGGAGTTGAACCGAAAATTACACCGAGAGTTATCCGAGCGGCCTTGGCGAATGATCCAAAAAGGGACATGATAGTACATCTCCTACGTTCAAGGAGTTACAAATATACTTATATGATCAAAAAAATGATGCCACTATCCGAAGGTCGTCAGCGATGCCGCGCGAATGGCGCTAGCAAATGGGACAGATGGATGGGCGAGTACAAAGTTTCAAAGAGGAGATGAAATTGAAATAAATGTTAACTTAAGTGTAGATTGGTCTTCCTATATGATTATATATTCATGCTCATAGCATATATTATCCTGAACACAAGACCTTAATGCGCTAATCACTTGAACGTCACCGCTTCGTGACTTCACTGAATTTGGTGGTCAGTTAACCTAAAGTCCAATGAGTCATTGTCATTAGACCATACTGTACTAGAACGTTGAGTTCTCTTCTAGGTATGGCAAATAGTTGTTTTGCACTAGTGGCTTGGCAACGGGGCCGCAGAATAGAAAAGCAATGCTTGGGGTGGAAGCTGATTTCGCTACCGACTGTAAGTCTCCGTTCAAAAACGCGCTAATTCCTTCATGCAAGGATCTCAAACTAGATCGGGCGCAGTACTGAGACACTGCGGTCTTCCAAGGCCAATAAACAATCTCCGGTTGGTGTCGAGAATCAATACCCTAGCGATCAACGGACATATCAAGAGCCATTCTTCCACGTCGCTCCCCCTTTTGCAAACTAGGAATGTAAGTGGGTTCCTGAGTGTTTCAAATACTTCGGCGCTGTCGTACCAAAATCGTCAGTAGTAGGCCGACAGTCGAATTGTCACCATAACGAGTAATTACATATGTCGATCGGTGCTCAACTATACGTATTATCATTTTGCTTGGTTAGGAATTTATGAGATAATTTCTTTAAACACCTTCCTAACGCAGGAGACCAAGCGATAGCGATTGTCCCCTGGCTGCTTCTGGGCATACAACTCTTCTTCTCACCACTTCCAGGCATTGCTTTGTACAAGATTTAGATCCTTTGTGATATTGCGAAGGTACTCAGTCACTACAGGAAAGCCTCAGAGCGTTTTTTTTTTTTTTTTTTGCCTTACTTCTGCCTCTCTTTTTCCACCGCTTTTTTTTTGCCCGTTTTCGACTGCCTAGGGTTGTAGTCGGTCAAGAATTGTGGGTTAATTAGTGGGAGTTTGAAAGGACTTATGGCGTACGACTGTAGGAAATGAGAAAACGTAATGATGTTCGATCGAGGTGAAGATGGAAATGACGACAAAGTTGTCAGGTCAAGTGATTTAAAGTTCAAGGCCGAGTTTGAAATTGACATGCAAACATATCAGAGCACAAAACTCCTACAATCATGCTCGAAACAGAAAATAATGTCGAACGACAATGCATCCACAGTAACTTGGTATTCGTGCTATGGAGTTTGATTGTATACGTGAATGTACCAACCTACCTCTTGAAGCTAGTAGCCAAGCTCGAGCCTACTCGAGACAAAGAATATCAACAATCAGAACCGCAAATCCCAGCCGATCTGAGGCCCAATATTAGGTAACTCATCTGCAACACTTTGCACGTCTTTATCTCCACGACCACTCAAGCACACGACGATATCCTTCTTGGGTCCCAGCTTCTTAGCGGTCTCGATAGCACCCCACACCGCGTGAGAGGTCTCCAATGCGGGGATAATACCTTCAAGCTGACTTAACAATCGGAAGCCCTGGAAAGCCTGTGCATCAGTGGCTGACAGGAATGTCGCCCGGTTGCTCTCCTTCCAATGCGCTAGCTCCGGTCCGACTCCAGGGTAGTCGAGTCCTGCGGAAACGGAATGAGTGTTGGAGATCTGGCCATGTTCATCCTGTAGAATATAGGTCCGAACACCATGCAGGACTCCCACAGAGCCGCCACTTAGTGTGGCTGAATGTCGCGTCGTGTCTAGGCCATCCCCACTAGCTTCCACACCAACTAGCTGAACAGAGGGATCATCAGAGAAGGGATAGAACATTCCCGTCGCGTTCGAGCCACCTCCTACACAAGCAACCACGGCGTCGGGGCTCTTGCCAAGGTCTCGTAGCTGGCTCTTGGTTTCCTCTCCGATCACACACTGGAACGTGCGAACAATAGTCGGGAATGGATGAGGTCCAAACGCAGAGCCAATAATATAATGCGTAGTGTCCAGACGAACAATCCACGCGCGGAAAGCTTCGTTGACTGCATCCCGGAGGGTACGCGATCCCGATTCGACGGGGATAACGGTTGCACCCAATAAGCGAATCCGGAAGACGTTCAATGCCTGTCGACGCACATCCTCCGCACCCATGTAAATGGTACATTTCATGCCGAATTTAGCGCAGACGGTGGCGGTGGCAACGCCGTGTTGGCCTGCTCCCGTCTCGGCAATAATCTCCGTTTTACCAAGTCGACGAGCAAGGAGGATTTGACCCAAGGCATTATTGATCTTGTGGGATCCCGTGTGATTCAAGTCCTCTCGCTTGAGCCAGATGTTCGCTCCGCCAGCATGCTCGGTCAGCCGCTGAGCTAGATGCAAGCTGGATGGACGGCCCATGTAGGGATAGTATGATTTGAACTCGGCCCAGAAAGTCGGATCGTTGAGAGCAGTTTGGAAGCTGGCATTCAATTCATCAAGACAAGTGATCAAGGCCTCCGGGGCATACTGACCACCAAAGGTACCAAACCGGCCGGAGTTATCAGTAGTAGTAGCTTCCTCGACAGCCAGGCTGGGTGCAATTGTCTCTGGCGCGTGAGGAGCTGTAGTGATCAATGTACCCCGATCGACCTTTCTCTCCGTGATCTGCGAGCAATAGTCCTCAATAATTTGAGCGGCTTGGCCAGCTGGGGCATCACTTAGGACCGTAATCACTTGACTGCCAATAACGGCGCCAT